CACTGGTGTAAGATGGTATCTCATGGTAGTTTTGATTTGCATTTCCCTGATGACAAGTGATGTTGAACATTTTTTCATATGCCTGTTGGCCATTTGCATTTCCTCTTCAGAGAAGTTTCTTTTTAGCTCTTCTGCCCATTTTTTGACTGGATTATTTTCTTTGTTGTTGCTGAGTCTCATCAGCTCTTTGCAGATTTTTGGGACTACATCAAATTAAAGAGCTTCTGCACAGCAAAAGAGACAATAACAAAAACAAAGAGAAACCCCACCAACTGGGAGAACATTTTTGCACCCAACACTATTCGTGTATTTTAAATACAAGTTCTGTATCCGATTCACGTTTTGCAAATATTTCCTCCCATTCTGACTTTTCATTCTCTTAACAGATTGCCTTTTATTTATTTCATCTTCTCCATCGTGTGATCATTCCACAGCTCCTGAATTTATTTGCCCTTCGTTCCAGCTGGAAGCAGATGCCAAATAGTGTGTCTTATTCCCAGTTCCAAATTTTGGGGAGAGGCTATTATTTTGACCAGTTTGGTGAAAAGGGAAATTAATTTTGGGTGGATGGGTGGTGACATGAAAGTATGTGGGAGAGTCTGGGATGTGAAAGTTTCATTTTCCGACCTCTGCAGTGCAAAAAAACAAAACTACAATGAGGTGGGAATGGGCCCTATATGTTAACTCCCAATATCAACACAGAGGGTGGAGTCCAGTGCAAGGTGGGTGTAAGTACAGAAATTCAATCAGTAACAAGTGGGACAAAATGAAAACAGCATTTCCTACACCCAGCTCCACCCCTCAGAACTTTTCCCATTTTTAGATATCCTGGAGTTTTAACATCATGGTTCTAAATAATATACTCTACCTCTGTTTTTCTATTTAGTCACTCAAGAAAGCCTCTAATGATACCTCATCATTAAAGCAAGATTTAAATCCCATTGTCTCTCTCTTTTTTTTTTAAAGATTTATTTATTTATTTATACAAGCACTGCGTACAGTCAGAAGCGCGGGAGGGTGAGAGAATTCACCAGAGCCAGAGCAGGGAGCAGAGCAGAAAGTACACTGCTGAGGGGAGCAGCGGGCAGGCAGGAGAGGTCTGCGTGCCATGTGGGACCCTCCTCCGGTGGCCGGGGAACAGCCGGGGATCGAACTAGCGCTGCAGAGGCTGTGGGCAGCTTTGCAACCCAGCGCTCAACCGCTGCGCCACTGGGGAGGCCCCCATTGTCTCTTATCCACGCCCCCAAGCCCATTTTCTCAGTTGTGTTTGCTAAACTATTATTGCAGTTTATGTTGGTGTTATTTATAGTTCCAAACAATCTCTATTTAAAAACTTCCTCTTCCATTAACTTCAGGCAGAATTTCTTGAGCTCCACGATTATATAAGAATAATTAGACCCCCTATGCCATCTGCCACCTTCCTCTTCCACCTCCTTGTAATTTCCTTTTTTCCCCCAAAGATTTATTTATTTATGCATGCAAGAACTGTGGTACAGGCCAGAGGTGAGGGGGATGAGAGGATTCACCAGAGACAGAGTGGGGGAGCTGAACAGGTAGATCTACTGAAATACACTGCTGAGGGGAGCAGGGGGTGAGGTCTGCTGCACCATGTGGGTATCTCCCTGGCAGGGGATTGAACTTGTGCTGCAGAGGCTGCTCACAGCTTCATAGTGCTGTGCTTAACCCCTAGCGCCACCAGGCAGGCCGCTCGTAATTTCTGTTGGTTTTCTCTTTACTTTTCCATGGCCAAAATCTATAACACTTACTTTCTGTTCTACAATTATAATTAAATCTTCCATTCTTTATCTTTAGGTTGATTCTGAAAAGCAACCAATTTTATGATTATGTGAACATTATGTACTGCAGAACCAAGTTAAGAGATGGCTTCATTGAGAAGGAAATGCAATGGCGCTGCCTTCAATGCTGCTTAAAGGAGCATATTTGTTGTCTGACATGTTAAGGTCAAGAGAATTCTCTTTTCTTACACTCCACTAATTGCTCAAAATCGTGCCTCACATGTGTTTGCTTCATATTTATCTTGGAATGGATTTTGTTGTTTCTGGTTTTCTAATTGACTTTCTTTTTTTCTTTCTAAGAGAAGAAACAGATGTTGTCTCCATTATGTTACCACAAAGTGTATTTGCCATGCACTTTCCCATGCCTGGGTCCTTTGTATGTGTAGTGAGATATGGGAGCTGTTGTGTTTATCCAGAATTCCTTTCCCCTCCCCTTCAGGTTGGTGACTTGGGGCTCCCCTAGTCCAGTTGTAGAGTTTGGGATTTCTCCAATGGCAGTGTCTTCACGGTGAGTTCATGGTAAGTTCATCCCCAAGACCTGGAATTGACTTTGTTGGTAACACATCTGAAGTCTGGACACACAACTAAAGATGGGTATTTTGAGTTCTTCTGTGGGATTTGATCAATGATTATTGAAAGAGAGAAAGACTCACGGGCCTCCCCGGTGGCGCAGCGGTTGAATGCTGGGTTGCGAAGCTGCCCGCAGCCTCTGCAGCGCAGGTTCGATCCCCGGCTGCTCCCCGGCCACCGGAGGAGGGTCCCACATGGTGCGCAGACCTTTCCTGCCGCCCGCTGCTCCCCCCAGCAGTGTACTTCGGTCCTCCTGTCTTCTGCTCTCCCCTCTGGCTCTGGTGAATTCTCTCACCCTCCCACGCTTCTGACTGTACCCAGTGCATGTATAAACAAATAAATTAATTAATTAAAAAAAGAGAGAGAGAGAAAGACTCCCCTTTAGCTTCAGGTAAGGCGTGATCCAGGTACTCTAATGATATCATCAAGGACCCAGGGTCATTATAGATCTTTCCTCTGCCCTCTGTTCCTCTCCTGCTCTCCATAGTGGATGGCCAGCTGCGACATGTTCCTCTTGTGTAGCAAATGGGAGTGGTGAGCAATTCCACCCATTGCTTGAAAATATGAGAGAGAAATGTCTTTTTTTTTTCACCAAACTGCTTAAAAGACTGTAAGAGCCAGTGTGCTGATAGGTATTTGCTCTTCTTTTCTTCATTCTTCTTCTGTTGTTTTTTCCTAAATGTCTGCTAGTAGCTGGTGACCAATTCATCTCTATGAATGAAGGGCAGGGCTGATTGGTATTGGCATTTATGCAGATTATTTTCTCTGCCCAGGACTGTTAGGAGTAGGGGCCGAGAGTTTCCTGAGGCTGTGCCATCCCCTTGAGGTTGGCTCTCCTGTTTTCCATACCTGCTCTGGCCTTAGAGACCTTGCCTTCAGGCATGCTTCACCTATGGTTTCCTCTGCCCCCTTTGTCTCTCATTACAACCTTTACTCTTTTTGTCTTCTAGACATAAATAAGAATCTCTGGATAGTTAGTACCCCTCTCCCAGCCCCCACTCACATCCCCGCCCCCCACTATCCTGTTCTCCGTTCTTCTGTGGGTTTATTTCCTTTTCCCTTTCCTTACTTTACTTTTAAGGGCATTTTAGGGGAGGGGGGTAGTAGAGACAGGTTCTCAATCCCCTTATTGACCTGGAAGTCAGTGTGGTGCTTCCATATTTCTAACTCCATCTGGCCCAGCACAGTTGGCGCCCCTGAGGCCTGCATGTGTTCACACTGGACACCCAGTCCTCACAGGGAAGGAAAAGGGAGGACTCACACTTGGGCCTTCCTATTTTCTTGCAAGGCCCTCATGGACCCATTCGCCCTAAATCCAGTCGCTCAGTGGATCATCCCACAGACTTAGTGTCTGTGTCAGGGAGGAGGGTCTCTTCAGTCTCTGCAAGGACCCTGGTGCTTTCAAACACTCAGGGATCGGAAGTGGGTGAGTACACGGGCATGAGCAGGGAGGAGAGCATAGGCTCTGGGTGATGGATTGCAGAAAATCCAGGGTGTGGTTATGGGATAGAGGTCACCTGTGGCGGGGGGAAGGGCGGTCTTCTCCACACTCACTGGAGCACAACCAACACTCACAGAACGTTTCTGATGTCCTTGGCTCTGCAGGCAGCTCTTCACATAAGCCCTGGAGGCTGCAGGAACAGAGAAGGGAAGTGACACCCCATGGTCACGCCGCTGGTGACTGAGATGCCGGATCTGAACACAGTTCTGTGTGGGCCCAAGCTCCTAAGCACCGATGAGTCGACTCCCACCTGCTCCTGTGATGACCAGAGCAGGATCCCAAAGATCTTCCCTGGGCCCCTATGCGCCGAGTTGTCCACGCTGCAGATGCTACAACCGGCCTGAGATGATCCAGGCCAGGAAGCTGGGGATGCTGGCATCCTCTAGGGGACACAGGAGGCTCTGCTGACATGCTGGCCAGGAGGTGGACAGGGGCCTGAGCCTGGGCTCCTGATAGATTCAGGGAATGAGTGACTGAAGTAGGGTCTTCATTGCTTCACTTGAGGATGGTGCTTCGTCTCCCCCCACTGCTTTGTAATGTGACCCCAATATTTGCTTATACATATCATCCATTGGAATAAAGACAAACGACTATGTGACCACTTTCTGGCTAGTGGAATAGAGTTGTGTCCCCCACTACCGAGGCCTGCTTCTTTGGATGATTCTTCTTGGAGTATTGAGGTGGCAGTGGGGTACCAAGAGGCCTCCAAGGGGTTTGGAGAATCAGTACCTTGGTTTGGGTTCCCGCAACGTTCCTCAGCCCAGGCTGGGCTGGTGTCAGGAGGCACCATGGGCAGAAAGTTCCCTTCTTCCTCTCACACACTCCTTAAAAAAAGAGCCAAGTGGCCCCTAAGGAGAGGGGTATGGACATGGGTGGTGAACAGGACCCCCTCATTTTCCACGTTGCCTGAGAAGAGGCTCTAGTGGGGTCCCAGACCCCACTCTGTCTGCTCAGGTCCCCCAGTGCCAGGCCTTGCAGGGCCTTCCCCTGCTTTGGAGGTCTTTCCTGGCTTAGTATTGCACAAGGCCTGCGGTTGCCTCCCTGGTCAGCCTCTGGGCTGGGCATGACCGCTGAGGCTTTGGGAAAAGAGGAAGCAGTCCCTGAATCTGAATCTCCCCTCTTGGAGCGGCAGAGCCACAGGAGACATGAGCACCAAGAGTTCCTGGCTCTCCTTCCTGTTCTCTCCTATGGTTCACCAGCCTTGCAGCCTCTTCCCACTATGGAGCAGGTACTTGCATCCCTGGGTCTGGAGGGTGAGCAGAGGGTAGGGGGCAGCATGGGGCTGAGATTTTCTGGGAGTGTCTGGGTGTGGGTGCTGGACCCCAAGTAGCCCAAGCCCAAGATACTAATTAAAGCTGCACTCATAACCCAACCCTCGCCCAACCCAAATCCACCTGAACCCACATCCACTGCAATTCCAGTCCTATCCATCCCGAGCCCTTTCCTGCTTGGGCCCCTATCCCCATCCTACCTCACTCTCATTCACATCCCATCCCCAACCTGTTACTGATCATCACCTCCGTCTAGTCCCAACACTGACCTTCACCCTCACCCCAATGCCCTCATTCTCAGCTGCACATCAATCCTTACCTCAGCCCTAATTCCATTCCCCATCCCAGCCCAACTTCAGCCCAACCCTCAATTTGCTGTCACCTCAAATCAATCCCACTCGCTGCATTCATCATTCCTCCACGCCTTCATTCAGGTATAGGTCCCTGGTATCATCCAGCAGAGCTCAGGGAGTGGATGCTGGGGCTAAGAGCATTAAAGCCAGATTAAAAATGAAATACAAAATGTCTATCACCCACTTCAAAGCCAACAGACATTATTTATGGATTATATGGCTTTCAGAGGTCAACATTTGGGCTACGTTTGGGGCTCTCTGCTGTTATGAAGATAACACATTCCTGAATTTGACCATCTGCACTTTCTGACTTCCTATCTGAGGGACAGAGCACTCACCCTATTCCCTTCCTTCTCCAGCCTTATAGGGAAGTTGGGGAGAAGGCTTGGAGCTGGGAAACAGAAACTGAACCCTGCATCCAGTGTGGTGGCCTCTAGGAAACTGTCCCTGCTCTTTCTTCCCCAGGCTGCACTTGGCCTCTGGGATCAAAAGTTAGGAATTCACCATGCCCCGGTGTCCTGAGACACTTGCCCTCACACAGGCAGCAAACATGGGCACCCACTGGGTACAGGGCCACCCAAGCCAACCCTGACACAACACATACCAATTGTAGAAGTGTGGAATTGAAACCCTGTCTTCAGAGTGGCCGAGATACAAAGATTTACCTCCAGAACTCTGGGCACAGTGCTCTCTCCCAAATGGTCATGACTCAAGTGCTGTGTTATTCTTTATTTTATTTTTTTAAAGATTTATTAATTTATGCATACAAGAACTTGGGTGCACGCCAGAGGTGCGGGGGGTAAGAGGATTCACCAGAGACAGAGTGGGGATCAGAACAGGCAGACTGACTGAAATACACTGCTGAGGGGGGCAGCGGGTGAGTCAGGAGAGGTCTGCTGCACCATGTGGGTATCTCCCTGCCTGGGGATCGAACTCATGCTGCAGTGGCTGTGAATAGCTTCATAGGTTGCGTCTTAATCCCTTGCACCACCAGGGAGTCCCAGAGCTCTGTTTTTTGGGGGCTACTATGCTCCCTGTGCCCCAAGGCCCTCCCCACTCTCCAGGACCTGCAATCGTCCTTCTACCACCAGGGGGTGCCAAGCGCACAGCAGGTCACCCAGCTCAACCCAAGCCCTAGGGAACGTACCTCTCAACATCAGGTGTGTGTACCCCCTTCTGGAGCTCTTCCTGCCCTTTCTTTTTTCTGGGAAAATTCTCCAGGCCAGGGCTGATCTTTGGGGTGGAACAGGCCAAGTCAATAAGCTGCACTCTCTGGGGACCGACTCCTTGGGTTATGGAGTGGTGCTGAGTGCAGGCAACATCTACATGATATGCTTTTGATTCCAGAAAGGGTCCTCTCACACATTCTAAACAGCTTTGCTCCATTCTGGGGTCAGCATGTCTAGGGTCCCACCATTTCTCCTGTAGGCTCAGTATTGCCTTTTCCAGGGCCCCAACTGAAAACACAGCAGGGGAGCTGTGTCTCTACTGCTAAGGATAGGACATCCAGCATGGCTCTGGGCTGCAGCTCCACCCCCCACATGTGCCCAGTGGCCTTTCTTCGAGATGAGGCCTAGCATTCCCCAGCCTGGGCCAGCATGACCCTCTCCTGTGGCCAAGGACCAGGTGTGGGTAGAGAGGACCAGGTCTAGGAAATGCCCAAAGAACTGGAGATGAGCTACTGGGCCCGGACAAATGAGCTGCGCTGTCTGCTGGGCAGCCCTGCCAGTGAGGAACAGAGCTCTTCCTGGCCTTCACCATGCTCTCTGCAAGGGCATCCCTCCTCCCTCATACTTAGCTAAGTGCTGCCTAGTCATCCTGACTGGCAATTCAGGCCCCGTTGAGGCCCTGGGGACTGCCCCTCCCCAGGTGTGCCACCAGCTGGGCCCAGCCACTGGGGGACTGGGGCCTGGGAGAGGTCATGAGTTTCCTGTCCCCACTTGCAGCCTCCCCAGGCCCTCCTCTCACTCTGCCAAGTCAGCATTTAGGAGCAGGGAGGATTGCAAAGTTGGTGATAATGGTTTTATATGTGTGTGTTGTAAAAGACATAATAAAACAAAACTGACTGTTTTAATCATTTTTAAGTGTAAATCCAGTGGCGTGAAGTACATCCACCATACTGCATAACCATCAACAAAATATTTCCAGAATGTTTTCATCATCCAAGATGGAGATTTTTTTGTCTTGTAAATTTGCTTGTTCTAGGTGCCTCCTATAATTGGACTCGTACAATATTTGTGCTCTCATGATTTCACTTAGCATAGTGTCTTCAAGGTTTAGCCGTGTGGTGGTGTCAGAGTTTCATTCTTTGTATGGTGAATCATAGTCCAGGGCATACATAGGCCACCTTTCACTGATCCATTCATCTGTTGATGGATATTTGGCTTATTTCCCTTTCCGGCTATTGTGAATCACACTGCTACAAACGTTGGTGTATAATTGTGTATTTGAGTGCCTGTTTTCAATTCCTTTGCATATAAACCTGGGATTGGAGTGGATGAATCAAATGTTAATCCTATATTTGCCAGGACCTGCACCATTTCACTCCCTCCTGGCAGTACATAAGGTCCAATTTTGCCACCTCCTCACCAACATTTGTTATTTTGTGGTTTTATTGTTTGTTAATGGCCATTCTAAGGGTGTGAGGTGGCAGCTGATTTGGTTGTCAGCTGCATTGCCCTAATAGCTTCTTGGCCATTTGTGTATCATCTTTATTTATTTATTTATTTATTTATTTAGATTTATTTAATTATTTATACAAGAACTGGGGTACAGGCCAGATGCGCGGGAGGGTGAGAGGATTCACCAGAGAGAGAGCAGGGACTAGAACAGGCAGGCTGATGAAATACACTGTTGAGGGGAGCAGCGGGTGCGACAGGAGAGGTCTGCTCGCCATGCCGGGACCCTCTCCGGCTGGCTGGGATCGAACCGGCGCTGCAGAGGCTGTGGACAGCTTCACAGCACGACGCTCAACCGCCTGTGCCACCAATGTCTATTCAAGGCTTAGACCCACTGGTGGAATGTGGGCTGTTGACGTGTTGCAGTTGGTGTTTTGTGGCAGTTCTCAATATACTCTAGATGTGAGTCCATGATCAGATATGTGATTTGCAAATATTTCCTCCCAATTCATGGGCCATCTTTTTCCTTTCCTGGTAGTGTCCTTTGATGCATAGAAACTTCAAATTTTGATCAAATCTATTTTTTCTTTCATTGCTTATGCTTTTGGTGTCATACATAAGAATTCATTGCCTAATCCAAGGTCATGATTTTCACTCATGTTTTCTTCCAAGAGTTTTGTAATTTTAGCTATGAGCGTTTCTGGCATCTCTCCCCTTTGGATTCACATCGATGGCAGATCGCAAGGCCCTACCCTGGCCAGAGACTCTCAGTGGCCGAGGCCCAACTTCCCATGCACAGTGTACAGAAAGCACATGACTCACATCTGTGGGACACGTGCTGTGCAGGGCCCTGGTGCCCCCTGTTGCACCTACCCCTGCCCTGCCACTAACTCTAAACCCCTCGCCGCTGCTGCGAGGTCAGGGGCTCTGCCCAGCAGCGGGGCTCATGTCCTCAGTTCCAGGTGCCGAGAAATGGGTGTCCACAAGCTGCAAAGGACAGAGATGGCTCTGGGGTGGCTCCTGGGACCCCGAAGGGGAAGTGTCAGCTAGAACCACCTTCAAGGTGCACCTTGAGGCCTGAATAACCTTATTCAGGCGAAGACCATTTGTGATGGACTGAAGTGGAGAGACCACATTGTCAGCTGGAAAGACCAGGGCAGACAGGACTGGCCCGAGAGTGGGTCTGTGGGGGAGCAGGGAATAGGGGAAGAGCTGGGAGTAAGAAATGAGGACTGTTCAGGGGTGTGTATCGCGGGCAATGAGCGCTATCAAGGCAGCACTTCAGTGAGTGCTCAATCAGGCCTACAGCTGGCGATGCGGGTGGCAGGAGATGGTCTCAAGCGAGAGCAGAGCGCAGCCTTTCACCGGGTGCCTTTGGCGTAATTCACTGCTGCTCTCGGGGCTCCAGTTCCTGCTGGCTTGAGGCGGGCGGGGGCCGTGTGAGGAAGTGGGGAAAAGGGAAAAGCAGCTTTGGGGGCAGTGTCCTTAGGGGTTGGAAAAAGCAGAACTTGGGGTGGGGCCAAGGGACTCACAGGGGGTTTTTGAAGGCTGCCCCATGCCTGGATGCAGCCAGTGGGGCTTGAGTCTTCCTGGCTCCCACCTGGTGGTCATCCCAAAGGTCCTCGGCAGCTCTGTCCTCTTGCAGTGTTGGCCATTCTAGCACCATGGATGCAGGGCTGGCCTCTCAGCAGGCTCTGGGGCTGAGGAGCCCTCAATGCCCTAGGAGTTCCCGTGTGCGCAACCCCTCTGCTGAACACCATCTTTCTAGGCACAGAATGAGCACAAGACCCGCTATGGACTTCCTGCTCCAGCTTCTCCTCCTTGCCTCCTCCATCCCATGGGGTAAGCTTCATTGGCCTTGGTGAGTCCAGCCCTCTACTGGCTTGGGCAGTCTGGACTATGTCCACATCACAGGTTTGGTTGCTAAGATAGAAGGAGGGCACAAGGAAGCAGCGTTAGGGAGCAATGACCTTCCCAGAGGCACCCAGCAGTGTGTCATGGGGGACAGGACAGAGTTGGGGCACCCATCTGGGGCACATTCCAGGGGGCAGACCCAGGAACTTAGCGGTGACCCTATTCTCTGTCTTGTCCCCCCATCAGGCTTGGCCTCATGGGGTGTCTCCAGTCCCACAACAGTGCAGGGAGTGAAGGGATCCTGTCTGGTCATCCCCTGCGTCTTCAGCTTCCCTGACAGTGTGAAGGTGCCCAACAGCATTACAACCATCTGGTACTACGACTACTCGGGCAATCGGCAGGTGGTGAGCCACTCAGAGGACCCTCAGCTGGTGGAGCCACGCTTCCGCGGCCGGGCCCAGCAGCTCACGAACCTGGAGCACAGAGTGTGCAACCTGCTGCTGCAGGACCTGCAGCCCAAGGATTCGGGCTCCTACAACTTCCGCTTCGAGATCAGTGAGGGCAACCGCTGGTCAGACATGAAAGGCACCACGGTCACGGTGACAGGTGAGATGACAGGTGCCTGCCTACTCCAAGCTGACACTGCTGGATCGCAGCCCCAGCCATTGTCCTGAACCCATCTCCGCTGCAGTTCCAAGCCCCCCTACTAGTCCCAGCCCTGTGCCCCTTGCATTCACTCAAGTGGAGCCGGGAGCTAGAAAGCCTTGCTCTTTCCCCTAGAAGTCTCCTGTCCAGGGCTTGCCCCTTGGCTGGAGGACAGGAGGACAGGAGGTCTCAGGTGTGGTGAAGGGGCATCCTGAGTGCGCCTGTTTCTGTCTCCAGAGAAGCCCAGTGCACCCACTATTGCTTCACCGGCCAAGCTTCTCGAGGGCACGGAGGTGACCTTCAACTGCTCCACTCCCTATGTGTGCGTGAAGGAACCAGTCCACCTGAACTGGCAAGGCCAGGACCCCGCTCGCTCCATCACCTCCAACGTCCAGAAGCTCGAGCCCACAGGCATCATTCACCGGGACACCCTCCACCTGGCCCTGTCCTGGCAGGACCACGGCCGGACCCTGCGCTGCCAGCTCTCGGTGGCCAAGCAGAGCACTCAGGGCGAGATTCACCTCCAAGTGCATTGTAAGTGTGCTGGGGGCCAGTGCGCGTGTGACTGAGCACACTTCTTCAGCCAGTCCAGAGCCCTTCACCCCTGAGGCAAAGCCAGGACTCACGTGACAGTCTAAGTGGGGCAGATGGAGAGAGACTGCTAAGCCCTAAGGGTCACATTTAATGGTTCCCTTCTGTCTCCTGCTGGTTTCAAAGGGCCCTGTACCCAAAACCAGCCTACAGAAGGGTAGAGAGGGAAGTCACAAAGAGCCAGGAATTGGGGGTCTGGTTGCGAGTGCCCTCAGATTTAACCCATCTCTGGAGGATGATTAGAGGTGGGTTCACCCCTTTCCTACCTTAAAGCTAATCATAGTAACCAGGGCATCACCAGGACATGGTGAAAAGGCTGTGGGAGAAAGTCCAGGTTTCCACTTAATTATGCATCTTCTGATCATCAGGAAACAGGACAGAGTGTTCTAGACCAAGCACTGTTCACAGGCATGCCCCACTAGATGAGCAAACTTTAGGAGAAGTCCTTTGCCTCTTTGAGCCTCTGTTTTCGCCTCTGTCCAGTGGAGGTCTGCAATAAGTAGTCCCCATCTCACAGAATTGTTACGAGGACTAAAGGGGTGTTGGCAATATTAGATAATCAAAAATATTAGCTTTTATTATTTTCACAGTCATGTAGATTAAACACTTGAAAAATGGTGGTTTTTATCAGCATATTTAGAAAGAAAGAGGCTTTAGACTAAAAGAATTGCAGTTTCTTTATATGGTTGCCCCTTCCTTGCACACGCCAGACACTCCCAGGGCCGGCTTGACCCAGCCTTTGGCCGCCTGGTATATCCATATGCACTCTGCGGATGTGCAGATAGAGGTCATCCATCTGTCTATCATTCATATTTCTGAAATTGCAGACATGATGTCCCTTTCGCCTATATTCTTCAGCGTGTATTTCCAAAGGTCGTTCTCATATATAACCTAGTGCAGTGGTCACAGTCAGGCATTTTAACAGCAATAAAAGACTATCTAATCTATAGCCCGTATTCAAATTTTACCAACTAACCTGGCAGTCAGTCCTTCACCAGGAGGCTGCCACAGACCAGCACAGCATGGTGCCCAAGGCTCCTGAAGGGAACAGTGGGTCACGGGCAAGTGAGGGGGGGGGCGGGGGTTGGGCGGGGGTGGGGGGACAAGTCTGAGCAGAACACCAGGCCCAGCATTGCCTTGTCAAGATCTTAATGGAGAAAGAAGAGGCCAGGAATTCCTCACCGGGTGGGGGCGGGGTCTCTCCTGGACAGGAGGGAGGAACAATGGGGCTGTTGGTTGATCTGGGTGGGCCTCCTTAGGGCTAAGTGTGGAAAGAGGAGCGTGCCACCCCCTGCCCTCCCAGCACCTCACTGCCACACACTATTTGCCTTGCAGATGCCCCTAAGGGTGTGAAGGTCCTCCTCAGCCCCTCGGGGCGGAACATCCTTCCAGGTGATCTTGTTACACTCACCTGCCAGGTGAACAGCAGCTACCCGGAGGTCACTTCTATGCAGTGGGTCAAGGATGGGGAGACCCTCAAAGCCCAGGGTCACGTGCTGCAGCTGTCTCAGGCAACCTGGGGTGACTCCGGAGTCTATACCTGCAGAGCTGGGAATACTGTGGGTTCTTCCACATCACCTCCTGTCAGTCTCCACGTCTTCAGTGAGTCCTGGGGAGTGGGGCCTGGGTCTTGACCAAACAGGGTGGGGTGCCGGGCTGGGCTCCAGATCCTCGAGGCTAAGAGGAGCCAGGCCAAGGTGGAGTCAGCCAAGCAGAACTCGGTGCCTCCTGGGAGGCAGGTATGGTCAGGCAGGTGACAAACCTCCTGGCAGGGTGGGAGGTCAGAAGGATCCTGGTGACCAGGTGAGTAGATGCAAGGTCAATCCAGGAGGATTTAGGCCAATTCACAACAACCCTGGAAGCCTGAGGGCCTGGGCCTGGAAGTCCACTGGGATCCCCAGCGTGTCCTGTGCTGCCCCTACAGTGGCAGAGATCCAGGTGAGTCCAGCTGGCCCCATCCTAGAGAAACAGACCGTGACGCTGACCTGCAACACGCCCAGAGAGGCATCCAGCAACCTGCACTTCAGCTGGTACAAGAACCAGGCCCCGCTGCAGGATGCCCACAGCCCCACCCTCCGGCTACATTCGGCCACCAGGGCCGACACGGGCTTCTACGTCTGCCAAGTGGAGAATGCGCAGGGCAGAGAGCGCTCTCGCCCGGTCAGCGTGGTGGTCAACTGTAAGTGGCCTGGGGCGGGGTGACACCCAAGGGTGACGCCCCTCCAGGGCGGTTGGGGTCCAGGCCACAGGTAGCCTTGGGCTCACATCTCAGCTCCGCCCATCTGGGCAAGATTTTGACCTCTGTGCGCCTCAGTTTCCTATTCTAGAAAAACTTTTATTTTGAAATAAGTTCAAAAGCGTAAAAAGTTGCAAGAATAGCACAAAGATATTTCATATAACTTTACATTCCCCAAGTGTTAACATTTGGTACATTTGCTCTCTTTTCTCTCTCCCTCTCTCTCTTGTTTACATGTACACGTTTGCACCCACATATGTATCATGTATGTATCCTAAGTGTGCGCACATCCTCTCCATGTAAACACATATCCATATGTTCTCTAGAGGTCATCCCTCTGTCTATCGTTTGTATTTCCAAAATTGCAGGCGGGATGTCCTTTTCCTCTATATTCTTCAGCGTGTATTTCCAAAGGTCATTCTCATATATAACCTAGTGCAGTGGTCACAGTCAGGCATTTCAGCATCAATGAAAGACTATCTAGTCTATAGCCCATATTTAAATTTTACCAACTAACCCATAATGTCCTTTATAGAACTTTTTTGGGGGGACGGCTCTTTGCATTCAGTTGTCTTGTATCTTTCTCCTCCTTTAATCTGGGCCAGCTCCTCAGTCTTTCCTTGTTTTTCTTGACATTGAAGCTTGAAGAGTAAGTCAGCTGTTCTTCGGGTGTCCTTATTCATGTCTGTCTGAGCCTGTGCCCTTGGGGGGTGTCCCCCCACATGCGCAGGGTCCACCTCGCTGCATTCCATCAGGAAGCACTTGATGGCACCTGATGGTGCTCACGTTGATCACTTGGTGGAAGCGCCGTCTACTGCCAGGTCTCCACCGTGACCCCATCTTTCAAGTGGGGCCCTGCTCCTCACTCACAGTGCTGCCATAGGATTGACGGGGTGACCATGTGACTTGCCCAGTCCAGGGACAAAAGCGTGTTCGGCAGGCACTCAGGAGCTCCTGGGGTTGTTTCCTCTCTCAGGCCATTGGGGGACAAAGAGGTTCATAGATCACAGCAGGATCCAAGGGATGCCCTATCTAAGTGTGACAAGCCCCTCATCTCCACACAGACCCGCCCGTCACCCCGGACCTAACCGCCTTCCTGGAGACACAGGCGGGGCTGGTGGGCATCCTCCACTGCTCTGTGGTCAGCGAGCCCCCGGCTACCCTCGTCCTGTCACACAGGGGCCTTGTCCTGGCCTCCACCTCTGGGGAGGGTGACTGGAGCCCACGCTTCAGTGTCTCCTCTGCCCACAATTCCCTGCGCCTGGAGATCCAAGACCTGCAGCCAGCTGATAGCGGGGAGTACATGTGCTCAGCCACCAACTCCCTTGGGAATGCGTCCTCGACCCTGGACTTCCGTGCCAATGGTAAGATGGGCATGGGGGAGGAGGCTGAAGCAGGAACTCTGAGGAGGAGGCCTGCTCTGGCCTTTTCCTAGGAGTCCAGAGGGCTCATCTGAGGGGCTGAACTAGCTGGCTAGTAGAAGTCACGTCAAAGACCTGGGCTATAGTCATGCCCACCTGTGAGGTTCTTGGAAATCAAGGCAAAAAGGGAAACATGACAGGTTGCTTTATTCATTTTCTTAACATTCTGATTCTGAACTGGGAGCTCCTTCATGTGCGTTCATTTGTTCTTTTTATTTATCAAATATTTAGTGCCGGTTCTGTGCTGAGTCAGATGCAGGAGCCAAAATGGAGACATAGGGTCATCCAAGTCTTGGTGGATGTACTGCCCTGCCATGGTAGACACAGCTAATTGCCCTGCCAAGTTCATAAACCTGGGTTTGGGCTCAGGATCCTTTTCAAACTTGCAACCAGCTACCAAAAGATCTGAATCGGCACTTACAGCCAAACACTCTTGATCATCAAGAGATTCCCAGAGATGACACTCGCCTCACAAAGACCAGACCTACCTACGGAAGAATGAGAGGAGAACCCTAGGGGGCTTCCTGCAGCAGGTGGCATGGAGCCAGAGATGTGCAGGGAAGCTGAGCTTGGGGGTAAAGTCTTCACAGCCTCCCTCAGCCTCCCTTTCTCCCCCTCCCCCCAGCGGCACGCCTCATCATCAGCCCGGCAGCGGAGGTTGTGGAAGGGCAAATGGTGACCCTGAGCTGTAGCACCAGCCTGAGCTCCACGCCTGACACCCGCTTCTCCTGGTACCGGAATGGAGCTCTGCTTCTCGAAGGGCCCAGCAGCAGCCTCCAGCTCCCCTCGGCCTCCAGCGCTGATGCCGGCTCATACCACTGCCGGGCCCAGAACGGCCGCAACGCCAGCGACCCCTCCTGGCCGATTGTCCTCACCGTGCTCTGTGAGCAGCCTTCCTACTAGCCACTGTCTGCTGTGGGGAGGACAGTCCACTGAGTCATGCCAACTGCCTCCTGTCCAGCCCCAGGGTCTATGTCAGCAGGGCAACCATAGGCCTGGGCACCATGGGTGGAAATTAGGGAAATAAGGCTGGGCCTCTCTGTGTCTCCCTGTGACCTACTTCCAATCCCAGGCCTTTAGGCCTTTGTCCAGTGTGTTCTAGGGACCTAGCCAGCCTTGAGTGGACCTGAAGGCCATGGCAAAGGCTGATGGGTCACTGCTCATGCGCTTCCTCCCTACAGATGCCCCACGCTACCCCACGTTCACAGCCCGGCTGGACCCTGATGCTGCAGGAGCCGGGGCTGGAAGGCAGGGCCTCCTCTTGTGCCGTGTGGACAGCGATCCCCCAGCCCAGCTGTGGCTGCACCACAGGGACCAGGTCGTGGCCTCCTCCCTGCCAACAAGGGGTAGCTGCAGCACCTGCGGGGGCTGTTCCCCGCGCAAAAAGGTCACCAGAGCTCCCAACTTGCTGCGTGTGGAGATTCGAGACCCTGTGTTGGAGGATGAGGGTGTGTATCTGTGTGAGGCCAGTAATGCCCTGGGCAACTCTTCTGCCTCGGCGACCTTCAATGCCCAGGGTGAGTGGGGCAGGGAATGGATGATTGGGGGTGAGGAGCTGGCACACAGGACCCTAGTCCTCTGTAACTCCTGGCTCCAAGGAGGGTCTGTGAGGCAAAATCACCTCCTCCAGCAGTAGGCAGGAGAAAAACTCCTCCCTCCACATTGAGGGAGGCCAAAGCCCCCGTGCTCAGTGCTTGGGAGGGGTGTTGGGTCTGGGGCTATGAGGTTGAGTTCTGAGGAGGGTCTCCAGATGGACTCTTAGACTATCTCACCCTCTTCCCCTTTGCTGGTTCCCTTCTATGCCCGATGCTCCCCATGCTCCTCAGGGCCTGCTTCGCATAGGCTCCCCGTGAGTGAGTGAGTTAGCTTCCCTCCTTGGCCCAGTGGGTACCCCAGAGGGTTTCCTTCTGCCCCCTCCAGACTGGGAGTGGGGCCGATAGTCCTGGGCATGGTGGTGGGGAGGAAGTGGCCAAGGTGAGGCCTGTCGTGAGCAGGACTGTGCTGCCCACTCTCTAGCCACTGTCCTGGTTGTCACGCCGTCAAACACACCGCAGGAGGGAACAGGAGCCAACCTGACGTGCAACGTGAGCCGGGAAGCTGGTGGTGGCCCTGCCAATTTCTCCTGGTTTCGGAATGGGGCACTGTGGGCCCAGGGCCCCCTGGAGACTGTGACGCTTCTGCCCGTGGCCAGAACAGACGCTGCCCTGTATGCCTGCCGCATCCTCACTGAAGCTGACACCCAGCTCTCTGCCCCCGTGGTCCTGAGTGTGCTCTGTGGGTGATGGACAAGGGCAGAGTTGGGCACCTAGGGGGTTGATAGAGTGATCTGGGGGGACCAGGACTGGAGTGGGTTTGGGGAGGTAAGAGTTTGGCTCGGGTATGGGTAAGGGTGGCCTGCACTGTGTGTGTTGTCAGGGAGTGGGACATATGTGACAGCTGGAAGGTGGTGAGCTGGGCTGGGGGTGGCCTGAGCTTCCACTGTCCTTGCAGATCCTCCAGACCCACCAAAACTGTCAGCCCTCCTGGACATGGGCCAGGGTCACATGGCCGTGTTTGTCTGCACTGTAGACAGTCGCCCCCTGGCCCAGCTGAGCCTTTTCCGTGAGGAGCATCTCCTGGCCACCAGCCTGGGTCCTCAGCTTCCATCACGTGGTCGTCTCCAGACCAAAGCTACGGCCAACTCCCTGCAGCTAGAGGTCCGAGACCTGGGCCTCGGGGACTCTGGCAGGTACCGCTGTGAGGCTACCAATGTCCTGGGGTCAGCCAATACCTCTCTTTTCTTCCAGGTCCGAGGTAAGTGTCAGTGTTCTGACGATGTGGTAGACCCAGATGCCCGGGGGGGGCTACTCAGGCTGGACTTGGGCTGAGTGGTGTAGATTTTGTGCAGAAAAAGAGATTTCTCTTTTTCATTTGGGGGGAAGGGTGTCTCCACCCAGCCAGCAGGAGGCCTCCTTTGTCTCCAGCTGGATAATTTTACCTGTAAAAATGGTGGCAGCCCCTAAAAGGCAGTGGCAATTGCACAAAGTGGGCTTCTTGGAGCACCCCACTCTTATCTGACAGAAAACTTTATGAATAATATAAATTTGTTACATGATAACAATCCTCAAACAAAATCTAATGTATGTGTATTATGCACACATATGTATATATCATATACTGTTATGTATATATTATATACTATACAAATGTACATATATGCATGCTATACATATACATATAAACACATGTACATAATAGTATATTTTATATACTATTCATTAATGTAGATATTCAGGTAGGAAGATAGATAAATAGTTTCTTCTGCAAAGTTCTCCCTAGGTGAATAAGCCTGGAAAAAGGAAATAATAACAATAATTCTGCAAATACTAAAGAAAAACACAAACTTTTTCTCCCATAATGACAAGCAACATCAATTTGGAAAATTTTCTTTGGGCTTTGCGCTGATATATTGTCTCTTATTTATCACACCCATTTCATAGGCAGAGAAAGCAAGGTCAGAGTCTTAGTGGTGTGTAGTCACATAACTACCAGGGGGTCCTGTAGCTCTGGGCTAATTTGGTTCTGGTCCCAGGCAAAGCCTGTGCTTGCAACCAGCTGTGCCTCTTTCTCACTCTCCCCACACTGCTCTCTCCCTGCCTCGGACCCAGGGGACACTAGGACTGCCCTTGGCCTGATTCCGGCTCCTGGGCTCTCGTGACCTGGAGCCCGGGTGCAGAGCTGGACTGCAGAGATCTCACAACTACTAGCTTCCCCTTCCAAGACCTCGGTCACCCATGCTGAGCCAGCTCATGATTAGGACAAAGGCCCTTGGCATGATCTAAATGCCTCTCATTTCAGTGTTTTATGGGGTCAAATCAACATTTGCCAAGATCTAACACACGTGGGTGCTGTGCCTGGCACTGGGATTATAGGTCATCTGAGTTTCCTCATGAGGCTCGCCCTATGGCAGGCAAGATGATTGACAGGACAAAATCATCACGCAAGATGGTGGGTGGTAAACGCTAGAACAAAACCAGCCCCGGGGGTTGGGAGCAGAAGAGGGGGAGGCACAGAGCTGAAGGTGGGCCCTCTTCAGTGGTCTCCAGGGGAGCTATGGCTTGGGACCTGGGGTTGGGGCCATGCAGCCCTTGTGTGAACACACACCCCCTAAACTGTGGGAGGGCATGGGGGGAGGCCCTCACACACCCTCTGTTTTTCCCTTCAGGAGCCTGGGTGCAGGTGTCACCATCGCCTGAGCTTCAGGAGGGTCAGGCAGTGGTCCTGAGCTGCCAGGTTCCCGCTGGGGCCCCAGAGGGGACCTCGTACCTTTGGTATCGGGATGGCCAGCCCCTTCGGGAGTCAACCTTGGCCACGCTCCGCTTCGCAGCTATAACTTTGAGCCAAGCTGGGGCCTACCATTGCCAAGCCCAGGCCCCAGGTTCAAGCACCACGAGCCTGGCTGCCCCTGTCAGCCTCCATGTGACCTGTAAGCATTTTCGCCCTTTTGGGATTTCTTGGGAGGTGAGGCGACAAGGGCATGGCTGGGGGACGGCGTGCCGAGCTCCTGGTCCTGGGCTCTGTCTCTGTGAGAGAGCCCTAGATGAGGGGCCACCTGGCCAGACTCTGACCTTCCCCGACCTTGTGTAGATGCCCCACGCCAGGCCACACTCACCGCCCTGATGGACACAGGCCCTGGGCGACTGGGCCTCCTCCTGTGCCGTGTGAACAGCGACCCTCCGGCCCACCTGCGACTGCTCCATGGGGCCCGCCTCATAGCCTCTACCCTGCAGGACCCAGGGGAACCTGCAGGCAGCTCTCCCCAGCTGCAGGTGACTGTGGCTCCCAACGCGCTTCGCCTGGAGATCCACAATGCGACACTGGAAGATGAAGGCAACTACACCTGTGAGGCCACCAACGACCTGGGTCAGACCTCAGCCTCAGCCAACTTTGATGCTCAAGGTCAGTGTGGCATTGCGAGTGTGTGTATGGGGGGCTCCTTTAAGAGAGGAGAGCAGGTTGGAGAGGGTTCTGGAAGCCTAGGGCACAGGCAGAAGGGAGAACATAAGGACTGGTTCATTCCCACCCTTTCTATGGCAGGTCTCTTGACTTGGGTTTCATGGAAGAACCTTTGTTAAAAGACAGAATTTTGCATGGATGTCCAATAGATAAAAATAATCAGGCAGGGGGGTGCAGGAGAGGCCATGGCAGGGCAGGGGAAGCGTGCCCTGTACCAGAGTCAAGCAGGGTTCAGGAAACTCCCAAACCCTACAGAACTCAGCTCGGGACCAACTGAGGAAGGAGGAGCTGTTTCGCAAGGCCTCCTGGAGGCCGGTGCCTTGCTTTCCACAGCTTCACAACCCTCATCCGTATCTCTTTCCTCAGCCGTGAGCCTGCAGGTGTGGCCCAAGGCCACCGTGCAGGAGGGACAGCTGGTGAACCTGACCTGTCTCGTCTGGACCACCCGCCCGGCACAGCTCACCTACATATGGTACCAGGATGGGCAGCAGCGCCCAGGTGCCCATTCCATCTCCCTGCCCAAAGTCAGGGTCGTGGATGCTGCCTCCTACTGCTGTGGTGTGGTGACCCCTGGCCAGGCCACTCGCCTCGCCAGTCCTGTCACCCTGGAAGTCCTCTGTGAGTCTGCTGGCTGGGTGCAGGGTGGGCCTGGAAGGCATGACAGCAGCCCACCGGCATCAGCGCTTGGCCAAGTCCCACAGGTGTCCTACTCAGGACGCAGCACCCAGCTGGCCGAGAGTGCTGTGCAAGCAGGAAAGAGCTGGGGGCAGGGGTGGGGATATGTCCTGCTGGGCGGAGGAGCAGTGCCCCACACTGGGCAGCTGGATCCTTGGGGTGGGGAGCCGGTCTCTGAACTCCTCCCGCCTCCATGCCTGATAGACGCGCCCCGGAGCCTGCGCCTGACCTACCTCCTGGAGAGCCGTGGCGGGCGGCTGGCCCTGGTACTGTGCACTGTGGATAGCAGCCCACCTGCCCAGCTGGCCCTCAGCCGCGCTGGCCACCTCCTGGCCTCCTCCACCGCAGCCTCTGTCCCCAATACTCTGCGCCTGGAGCTGCGGGAGCCACAGCCCAGCGACGAAGGTCTCTACAGCTGCTCTGCCCTCAATCCTCTGGGCCAGGTCAACACATCTCTGGAGCTGCGACTGGAGAGTGAGACAAGGCCCAGACCAAGCCTATCAGGGGGTGGGGGTCAGCTGTGGGTCTGACTGGGGTCAGCTGACCCTGGCCTCTTTGGCACAGGTGTGCAAGTGATCTTGGCTCCATCGGCCACCGTGCCCGAGGGGGCGCCTGTCACAGTGACCTGTGAGGACCCCGCTGCCCGCCCGCCCACCCGCTATGCCTGGTACCACAATAGCCGCTGGTTACAGGAAGGACCTGCCGCTTCCCTCTCATTCCCGATGGCTTCGCGGGCTCACGCCGGGGCCTACACCTGTGAGGTCCAGGATGCCCAGGGCACACGCAGCTCTCGGCCAGCAGCCCTGCAAGTCCTCTGTGAGCTGGGGCCCTGGGTTGGGGGTGCCTAGTTTGTATGGAGGGCGCTCCCAGCCCGGGTGAGTGTGGGAAGAGGACAACAGGGAACCAGGAATGGGCACTTGGGGAAAGAAGGACACAGGTGATGCGGGAAGAGCTCTCGGCCCTGTGAGTCCTGCCTGGAGAAGTCTGTCCACAGGACTCCTGAGAAGGTGCCGCTTGTGGCAGTGACCATTTGTCCAGAGGCTTTAGCCTCACTGACATCAGGTAGGTGGGCAGTGGACTACACAGGGTTCCAAGCAAGCCCTGTCGACCGTGCCCTCTCCCATCCCTAGATCCTCCTCGGGACGCTGTTCTGTCTTCCTTCTGGGACTCGAGGGCCAGCCCCACAGCCGTGGTGCAGTGCACTGTGGACAGTGAGCCGCCTGCCGAGCTGGCCCTGTCCCTCAATGGTCAGGTGGTGGCCACGAGCCGTGAGGTCCACGACCTGGCTTCAGGGACAGGCCGTGTCCAGGTGGCCCGCAATGCCCTGCGACTACAGGTACAAGACGTGCCCTCGGGTGACGAGGACATCTATGTCTGCACAGCCCGCAACCTGCTGGGCTCAGTCAGCACCACGGGGCAGCTGCAGGCAGAAGGTGAGTGAACCGGGCATGGGGTCGGGGCCCATGTGAGGGGCTGCAGCTGCCACTAGAAGAGCTGTCTCATTGGAAGGGGTAGATACAGCGCAGCAGAATCTGACCCAAGAGGAACAGTTCCCACTGGAGGGGGCAGCCTAGCCTGAAAGGGAGAAACAGCCTTGCCCTGGGTGGTCTCCCTACAAGGGGGAGGTGTAGCAACACCCCAAGGGAGCCTGGATGTAGGGAAGACATAACCCTGTCCTCACTGAGCCCGGTCTGGGGGTGCAGTCTGCTGTGGGAGACTCAGAGAGAAGGTGCAGCCCTACCCTCGTGGAATCTGAGGGCACCTCTGATGATACAGTCTCATTCATTGGAAAGCCTGGTTTATTGAAGGAGGAAGTAACAGTCCTGGAAGTTCCCATTGCAAGGACAAGATACAGCCCTGAGATATCATCCACCTGGAGGGCCAAATTGCAGGCTCATCAGACCTTCCCATAATGCACAGAGGCGTCCCAAATGCCCAGATCCACCCAGAGACTCTGGCTTTCATAGGCCTACAGATTCCCAACCACCTCCTGGTCCTCGGCCTGCAGGTGTTCATGTGGTGGCTGAACCAGGGCTAGACGTCCCTGAGGGCACAGCACTAAACCTGAGTTGTCACCTCCCTGGCGGCCCCTGGCCCCTGGGCAACTTGACTTTCGCTTGGTTCTGGAATGGCCGGCAACTCTACGCAGAATCAGTGCCTACCCTCGCCTTCTCCCACGTGTCCCGTGCCCAAGCTGGGGTGTATCACTGCCGGACTGAGCTCTCCACTGGGGTTACCATGTCCACACCAGTCACACTCCGTGTGCTCTGTGAGTATGACTTCCTCAGGCCTGCCTCAACTTCCCCATATCTCACATGTCAACTTCAGATCTTCTTCTGTCTGTAAAGAACAGGAACTTCACAGGAATGAGTCTTGGGTTGGGATCCTGGTTCTCCTGCTGGCTGGTTTTTTGATCTTGGGCATCTGTGCCTTGGTTTCCTCATCTGTAAAACATCAGTCTCCTGATAAAGTGTGCAGAGTACCAAGGCCTACAATGGCCTTGGTTCCCTGCCCCATTCTTTGCCAGGGCTCATGCCGTATCAGTTAGCTAACGCTCCATAACAAGCCCCCCCAAAACTTACTGCTGAAAACAACAGTCATTTTATTTGCTTACAATTCTATGAGTCAGACTTTTGGGCTGGGCTCAGCTGGGCGGGTAGTTCTGATCTCACCTCATGGGCTGCATTTGTCCAGCGACTGACCTGATACCACATGGTCTAGAAGGGCCTCACCCTCATACTTGGTGATTGGGGCTGGTTGTTGGCTGGGCTGTTTGTCTAGCAGACTGGCCTGGACTTCTCATGTGTGGCTGTGTTCCAAGGAGAGCAGAAGCTTTAAGACCTAGTCTGGAAGTCACACAGTGTCCCTTCTGCCTTTAATGGTCAAAGCCAGTTGCAGATGCAAGAGTGAGGAAATAGGTTCTGCCCCCCCCTTTTTTTTAAAGATTTATTTTTATTTATACAAGAGCTGGGGTTCAGGCCAGAGGCGTGGGAGGGTAAGATAATTCACCAGAGACAGAGCGGGGAGCAGAACAGGCAGACAGACCGAAAACACTGCTGAGGGGAGTAGAGGGTGAGACAGGAGAGGTCTGCCACGCCATGTGGGTATCCCCCTGGCCGGCCAGGAATCGGACCCACGCTGCAGAGACTATGGACAGCTTCACAGCGCTGTGCTCAACCCACTATGCCACCAGGGAGGCCCCAGTTTCTGCCTCTTAAAGACAGGAGCAGCAAATCCTTATGCACGGGAACGGGAGGGGAGGAATTTATGGTGGTCTTCTGCAATCATCACGCTCTGTCTTCCCACAGACCCTCCCAAGATGCCCACCATGACGGTCTTTGTGGAGCCTGAGGGTGGCATCCAGGGCATCCTGGACTGCCGAGTGGACAGTGAGCCCCTAGCCAGGCTGACCATCCACCTGGGCAGCCGGCTGGTGGCCTCCAGCCAACCTCAGGGAGCCCCTCCTGAGCCCCACATTCACGTCTTAGCCACCCCTAATGCCTTGAGGGTGGACATTGAAGAGCTGAGGCCCAGTGACCAGGGGGAGTATGTGTGCTCAGCCTCCAATGCCTTGGGCTCTGCCTCTGCTTCCACCTACTTCGGAACCAGAGGTGAGGAGGCCTCCTCTCCAGGCCACGCTGCCCAAAGACCCCGCCTGTCCTCACGATCAAAGGCTTCCTTATCAAAGGTCGCTCCTTCGTCCCTTCTGCTGCAGTCTCTCTAGTCTAGACTTGTTGCTTGAAGCTTTCTTGCATGGGGAGGTTGCTGAGGTAAAGTGAGTTCGAATAGGTTTCATCTTGGAAGAGCCACGTTGGGAGGGAGCCCTGGAGGCCTGGAGCCATGGCTGCCCCTGAGCTCCTGCCACTCTGTTCCAGCCCTGCAACACCTACGTCTGTCCCAGCAGCTACTCTGGGTCCTGGGGCCGCTGGTGGGCCTTCTGTTCCTGCTGTTGGGCCTGGGCACCTACTACATCTGGAGGTGGGTCTGGAGCTGGAGGGTGCACGGGCCTTGTTCTTCCCATATGTCCCCTTCTGAACTCACTCCGTGTTTCCTAGCCTGCTTTCCCACCCACATTTGGGAATCCCTTCTAGAATGTCTCTAAATCCCTCTTGCTGTCGTTTTCTTCTTTCCTTATTGCTCCCCTCACAGTGTCGAAGAAAGGGTTAGGGAGGGAAAAAGAGAAGGTACCCCACTCTCCCCAAGGCTGCCCTCTGTGCACTGAGAAGTCTGGGGCCAAGCCGGTGGGCAGGCAGGAGCCGGGGAGAGGCACACTGAGCCCACTCTTGTCCCTGCAGAAGGAGGCTTTTTTATAAGCTGAATGTGGCTGAGAATTCAGTGGAGATGACTTCTCAGAAGGACACCACACAGGTATCTGGCCAGCAGGGGTGGACATGCTGCCCAGCCAGGCCACGGTGCCGGGGGGATACCAAGAGACCACTCTCATTTTTGGATGGTGCCTGGGACTGGGGGACATTGGGGAGAGAATGTGGAGAACCAGGGGCCCCTAAGAAGATGGGGGGAAGCCATATTCTGATTGGGGCAGAGAGCTGCTATGTATTTAGTGTGGCTGGATGTGGGGAGACACTCTGAACTTAGCAGCATCCCCTCCACTTCCCAGACACATCTGATCTTCCACCTGTGTCTGGGACCGCTCTTCCCCACTCTGGGGTCTGCCCATCACTTGGGCAGGGGTGAGAGCCTCTGTGATGTGATTCCCCCTGCATATAATCCCTTTGGCGGGCCTGGGCTCCAGTCACATTTCCAGCCATGGACATGCTCACCAATGCCCTGGGGACCCCAAGCCAAGGCTGGGGAGACTGGCCTCCAGAGTTAGGGGCTGGGTGATGACTGCTTCCAGAGCCCTCTGACCAGGGTTTTCTTTGTGGGAAGCTCATTGATCCACACTTGATCTTAGCCAAAAGGCTGAGAAGCGATAGAAGTTCATTGATCCAGATGCAGTCACATTTGCCACCTCATCCTGTGCTTCACCCTCCGAGCTGACCCATGCCATTGCCTGCCCTCAGGAGGATGAGGTCTCCGATGATGCAGGCCCCATGAATAAGGAGGCGTTGGGTCCTGCCTACCTCTGTGAAAACAACTGTGTGACACCGGACGCTCTATGACCTGGCTCCCAACCTCTTGCCCCAAGAAAAGTAGGTGGAGAGAAAGAGGTGAATCCCAGTCTACCCAGGAGGAGGTAGACCCTGGCGGACTCAAGAGAAATGAGTTGATGGTGCTCTCCAATTCCCTTTCTTTTTTTCTCTGGATCTCATCTCTCCATTTCTCTTTCCATACTTATCCCTTCATATATGTCACTCCAAGCCCACTCTGGATTTTTTGGATGTTTTCAAATGGAAGAGCTGCTTTCTGAATTCTCATAGGCACTTGGTATTAGAAAGACTAAAAAGAGACCAAATACACAGACTTCAACATGAAAGAATTTTGTTTTTCTCTCCCATATACTCGTCTGGGTATATCATAGTGGTTTAAGGTGCTGGGCCTTTGGAAGTTTCTATCCTATTTTTTTCTACCCCTAAAATGTTGCCTTTGAGTGTGAGGTTCATGATGACCCCACTGTGTCCACATTCCATCCAGCAAGAAGAGGGAAGATTGGAAGTGGAAGGCACACCCATGCCCACTGTCAATACAACCTGGAAATTTCGAGTCATTTCTACTCACTTCCCATTGGCAAGAGTTTAGTCACATGGCCACTGCAACCTGTAACGGGTACTGGGAAATGTAGTTTTTATTTTACTTTCCAAGGACTCCCAACTATGGACTCATTAACCCTTGACACTGATGGGCATGCCGGCCGCCAGCAGGCCACGTTTTGTCTCAGTGCACATCTGTTGAAGGCCAGGGTATGTTCCTGGCCATTCTGGTCATGGGCTTTCTGGAGGAGGAAGTCCCTCTCACACATGAAGGCTGAGTGGATCAAGAAGGTTTGCTGGTCCCAAGGGAGAGAGCATGCCAGGCAGTGGTGTTATCCGAGCAGGAGCCTTGTGCCAGATCTGACTTCTGGAAGAAGTGTGCCAGTCACCAGTCCCAGCCCCAGGGAGTGAGAGAACAGACATGTCCTCAGAAGTCCTTGTCAGGCCACGTATTGGGGGCTGTAGCGGCAGGAATGGGCACAGAGCAGGTTCTCTATGACCAGAGCAGACGGGGTGAAGGAGGCGTTCTGGAGCCCTCAGTGGCTTTCGCAGTCTTTTATTGGGATTTACCATGTACACAGCAGGCACAGGTGCCGGGGAGCCAGGAGGCTGGCAGGCCTCCCAGCCCCCAGCAAGTCTTCACTCTTTCTGGGCTCTCCGGCTTTCTCTCATGTTCTCTCTGTTTCTCTGCTCTTCAGCTGGCGTCTCCGTGACGCCGCCCTTAAAAGCCCAGTCTCAGCCCAGGTGAATCCCATCGACCTACGCCCACACCCTACTCCAGGCGCCCGCCGTCAGGCATGCATTCAGGACCGCAAGGATCCATCATCTATCCTGATGGCGGGAGGGCAGAAAAGCCTGATACTTTTTCACTTACCCTACAGGGGCTTTCTAAATTGTCTCTCTCCTCTTCCTCTTCCGGACGGTCCCCTTCGCCATGGTAGGATTTGTGTCTGTAATTTCCCGTTTCTTAGCATCCATGTTCTCTTTTGGAATCTCCCAATTGCGCGCCCTGTTTAAAGTGGAAGCCGGGTCTCTCCACGCCCCCACGCCTGCCATTCTTCACCAAATCCTTCCCACATGAGAGGAGAAATAACAAAATAGACCCTGGGAGCGATGGGATGCTTCCCTCTCTGCTCCTGGTTCACGACACAGGAGGATCAGGGAAGCCTACCCTGGAGAGGTGGCTCCTGCTGCTGTCAGCACCTGTGCCACCCCATGAGGGCAACACGGGGAGGGTGTTGTGCCAGCAAGCACAGGGCAGGTTCACTGTCAATTTGGGTAGGTGGATAAAGAGACACCGGGAGGCCTCGGTGGGTTTTTCAGGCTTTAATCCTCTCTCAGGGAACCAGGGAAGCAGGTACACCGGTACACCAGGCAGGGGGCTGGGAGGCAGGCAGGCAAGTGAGCCTCCCAGCCCCTCACCAATCTTTACAGTTTCTCTGGCTCTCTCTGGTGTCCCCCGCACCCCCAATCTCACAATCGCGCCTCTTCTGTAGTCATGCCGCTCATCCTTCTCACTGGCGCCACTGCTCTTCTCCCTGCCTCTAGGCTCAGGGGTGCACACCTACGCGTGAGAGCATACTCCAGGTGTCCACAATCAAGCACGCATGCCCCACGCCCACACTCCTGGGAAGCTTCTGCATAAACACGATTAAGGCCACAGGTGAAAGCCACAGAGGCTAGTGGCATAAAAAGCCTGATTAATTAATTTACCCTACAGAGGAATCGATGCCTCTGCAGACTGGCTACACTGGAGTCCCCAGCTTGACTGAGCCATCATGGTCTGTGTGAGGTCTGGCTCCCCAGGATGAGATTTCAAGTGCTAATAACTGACAAATCAAGGATGTGCTTTTAAGGGAGACTAGCAAAGGAATGGAGGAAGCAGGGTAAAGGAAGGAAATTAAAGACACATAGCTTGTCCATAGCAGCATTTTTTCCAACATCTCAAAGCTAGTAGGTCCCCAAACGCACAGCAAGGGTAGACTTGATGGGGAAGGAAGAGGGTTAAGTCACACATTTTAACACTACCCAGCAATGACTATAAATGAGCTGAAGTCACACACAATAGGCTGGATACATTTCTCACACTGGGAAAAATATTTGCAACTCATCCTCCAGACAAAAGGTTAATCTCCCTTGTTTATAAAAAGTTCCTTTGAATTGTTAAGAGAATAGCCAACGACTCCATAGAAAAATGGGCTGCAGATATGAACAGGCAATCCAGGGAAAAGGAAATCCAGTGTTTGAATAAACATTCAACCTCACCCATAACAGAAATGCAAAGTAAAACTGCTCTTTCACTTTCAGAGTAGCGAAAATCACAAAGTTGAATAACACCTAATTGTGTTGATCAGGCTGTGGGAAAGCAAGCACTTCTTTTGTACCAATATCGTTGGTGTAATTGCGAAGGGGCACCAAATTGGAGGGCAATTGACTGATTACCCAAATCACAAACGCATGTATCCTTTAACCCAGTAACTCAATAAAAGTCTGCAAAAGCGACCGAAGGCTCTAGGACTCTCTCCTTTACCCCGTCTGCTCGAATCATAGAGAGATCCTGCTCTGTGTCCACCCCGCCATTACACAGAGCTAATTGTTGGCAAAGTTGTGGAATAATGGGAGCTCTCACACATTGCTGGTGGGAATGGAAAATAGTACAGCCACTTTTAAAAATAGTTTAAGTAATTAATGGGCCTCCCTCGTGGTGCAAGGGGTTAAGTCTTAGCACTATGAAGCTATCGCAGCCACTGCAGCACGAGTTTGATCCCAGGCCATGACCCACATGGTGCAGCAGACCGCTGCCGTCTCGCCTGCTGCTCCCCCTACCACAGTGTATTTAAGTCGGTCTGCCTGTTCTGCTCCCCACTCTGTCTCTGGTGAATCCTCTAAGCCCTTCCCTGCACCTCTGGCCTACACCCCAGCTCTTGTATGCATAAATAAAATAAATCTTAAAAATAAATAATATGCCCTTACCACATGACCCTGCCACCATCCTTTCACGTATTTATAGACAAGAAATGAAAATATTTGTCAACACAAGGAGTCACAGAGTCTTTGCAGTTTTGCAGCAGCTGTATTTAGAAGAGCCCCAAACTGGAAAAGACCCAAAAAGCCTAACTGGACTAGAGATACAATATGAAAAACTGCCGCTCCTTCATACCAAGAAATACTGCAGGGGAACAAATCACCCACACATGAAACAATGTAAACAAATCTCAAAACCTTAAAGAGGGAAGGAAGTCACGCACAAGAGAACATGTGCTATGATTCTATTTACATGAAGTTCTAAACAGAGCTCACCTAAGGTCAGAAAGCAGTGGTTGCCTAGGGCTGGGAGACAGATTGACTAGGAAGGGGCACAGGCCATCCTGGAAGTGATAGAAATGCTATTTCTGGATTGTGGTGGCGATTTCACCTAACTGTACACTTCAGTGCGTGTGTTTTATTGTATGTAAATTATACCTTAATAAAGTTGACTGTAAAACCCAAAATAATAATCTTAATAATCACAAGACTCATGATGATGAAAAAACTCTAAATGCACTATACGAAGGTCACTAAGGTGTCATAAATGAAAAAAAAAAAAACCAACAACAAACAAAAAAAGGAGCAGAAAAATGTTAATAAGAGAAAAAAATCTGCCTGCATTGGTATGGATTGGATTTGCACATCTATAAAATAATCTAAAAGCCTGTACAAGAAGCTAGTAATAGCAGCTTTCTGTTGGGGAATGTGGCCTGAGAGAATGGAGACAGAAGAGCGAGGGCAACTTCTCCCTGAATGTTTTATACTACGGGATGAAATCTGAATGAGGCGACGTAGGTTGCCCTGGCTGCTGGAACTCTTACTGAACGGCCCTGGCCATCGAACAGCCACTCACAGGTCGCCATTCGAATTTACCACTTGGTACCCAAATAAATCTCCAAAACAAGAAACAGATGTTGCTGAGGCTGAAAGGGTTCCCCCGCGTCTGGGGTTTATGGCTTTTTGCGATTCTTCCCCTGGCCACTGCCTAGGACAAAGGACGCCCCCCGCCCCGGCCCCCACCCACGCCTGGGCAGGGCGCCGCGCCACGGAACCGCCACTCGCCCTCGCGCCCGCACCTGCCGCGCGCGCCCAGGGCCAGGGCCCCGCCGCGGTGGCACAGAACCCCGCGCGCCGTCACGGCCGCATCCGCCCGTCGTGGTCGTCCGGGCTTCCCTCCTCGTGGGGCACCCAGCGGTAGAGGACCCACCTCAAATGGATGGACCCACCGTCCATCTCTGGGACCACGCAGCGGGGCGCTCCCCGCGCTGACCCGAGCGCAACAGGTGCCGCGCCAGTCCTGACCTTTGTCCCCTCCCCCCGTCCCCTGCCCGCTGCAGCCCTCGAGGCCGGTCCCGGGAATTTCCGCCCCATTTCCAGGGTCCTTCCCACGACTAGGGGGCACTCTGAGCCCTGAGGGGCGGGTGGCGCGCGCCGGTGCCCCCCGGGGGCTGCACAGAGTCCCGCCCCGCCGCGCCCCGCCCAGCGAGCTCTACCCTTCGTTGGCCGCTCGGGTCTGGCTCCCAAAGGGCGCACAAGGCCGAGTCCCGCCGCCGGGGTGACACCGGTGGGCTGCGGGTCCGGCGCGAGCCGTCAGAGGGGATGCGGGGATCGCTGCGGCGCGAGCGGGTGCGGAGGGCGCGGCCCGGCTGCTCTGCGCGAGGGTCGGGCCAAGATCCCGCCGGGGCGGAGTCGGTAGCCCGGAGCGGCAACTTAGAGGCGGAGGCGCGCACAGCTATGGGCCGGGGGTCTAAGCGCGTTCAAGGGTCCTGGGCTCTGCTGCTCCTGCTGCTGCAGCTGCCTTGGCCGGTGGAGCCCTTTCAAGGTGAGGACTGGGTAGGTCTGAAACTCCACGGACTGTGTGGCCTGGAGGGCTGGGGAGGGGCTCCGTGGGCCTGCCTGGGGACACCCAGACTTACACTTTGCCCAGCTGCCACCAATCTGCTGGCAAAGCAGGGTGGCAGGGCTCCTTCCCCTTTGAACAACTACCCAGCCCCGCAATACACGGCCTAGATTCTCAGCTCTGATCACCCCTAAGCCCCATCAGCGGTGTGAACTGTGCTGAACCTCCACTGGCCCCTGGAATACCTGCTCTGTCCTCAGGTTACAGACTAGCTGTGCTCGCCACCTTCAGATCACACCATGCTCACCCCCATCCCAGGGCCTTGGGGCAGTGTGTATATTGTTTATATTGTTGCCTTGTTTGGTTCGGTAGAAAGGGCAGCTTCAAACAGAAGGTGCCTGCTAGGCAAGGGGAAGGTTGCAGCACCCTCATTTCTCTGAGTAACCTCTCCAAACCCTCTGAGCCAGTGCTGATGTCCACAACCTCTCCAAGCAGGTGGGAGAACCAGGGGGTCCTGTACGTCAAGTGTCTGGCCAGGGCACAGGGAGGGCCACCAGGAGGAGGGCCTGGGCAGGGTTGGACAGCCTGTGTGTGGACCCGATAGGGATGGGCCCTGCTGTGTTCTGGGGCTCCAAGGGAAGGGGGTGGACCCCCAGGCATTCTTCTGCTCCCTCCTCCTTAGCCTGAGTCAGAGGAGGGGGAAGCTCTGGAGTAGAGAGAAGCTCTGTGTTCCCCAACATCAGGCTGACTGCCCACTCCCACCCACCTGGACACACAGCCCCATCTCTGCCTCCCTCTCCCTTGTCAAGAGACCTGTGGCCCTCTTGTGTGTGAGGCATGTGGAGAGCCCCCTACCCACACCGTCATGTGGACACAGGCACACCCTTGCCTCTCCACCTTTGGAGGCCTGAGGCCAGCAAGGCCTGGATCTCCACAGCCAGTTAAGTCCTTTCTGGGTGGAGACATTCCCCCACCTCCCCCAGAGGCACTCACATCCCGCCCCACGCTGATCCTTCAGCCTGCATTCCAAGGTTATGGGCCCCCACCCATATCCCACCCTCATCTACCTGATGGCAATTTGCTCATCTAGTCAGGGAGGGCTTCTTGGAGGAAGGGAGCTCATGCAGCTGCTGCTATTCCAGGTCTTTGATGATGAGGTCTGGGGGAGGAATGGAGGAGGAGAAAGAAGTTGGGGTGGCCCAGCAGGAGCTGCACCATTTACTCAGGCAGCCATGTCAGCCTGGCCAGGACTGGGGCCAGGGCTGGGTGGGGTTGAGGAGCTGTCAGTTCTGGGAGCTGGGCTTCCCCCGGGACTGAGTGTCCTAGGGATGGGAGGGCTGCCTGTGGGCTGGGCCTCCAGGGGCCTGGTTCCTTCAGGCGTATGTGGTGAGAGTTGCTGGGACCCACTGGGAAGGGGGGGAGCTGGGAGCATTCCAGGGGAGCATTCCAGTTGCCTTCTGAGTAATGTTTGGCTCTGGTATGCCCCTCCCGGAGCCCCTTTAGGAGACCCGGCCTGGGAGCGCTCAGGCTCTGCCCCCAGCTCCCTCCTGAAGGCAGCGGGGGGGGGGGGGGGGGGGGGGGGGGCTCTGGGCCATGGTCCTCGGAAGCCCTACCTCCAGCATGAAGCCCCCAAGGGGAGTTCTGGACAAGGTATCCCTCCCAAGACAACATCTGGCTGTTGTTTTTCTCAGATAGTGGGGAGATACAGACATCCTCGCTTCACAGAGCTCTCACTCTAAAGGCATCTGCTGCCCGGTCTAAAAATACACAAGGCCGCCTCCTTCCCTCTCCTCTGCACTGAGGACTTTGATCTCTTCCTGTGCCCTCTGATCTCAAGGCCTTGCCCTTGGCAAGATCAGCTGGACTCCCACGTCTTCAGCTAAGTTGTCCATTCCAAGAGTTTTCTGTCTCTCTTCTGCCACCTTCCTGGCTGCTTCTCAGTTCCAAGGATGCCCCAAGGGTACACCCACTTTCTCCAGGCTACATCTGAGTGTTGAGAATGGAGTCTCCCCTTGTTGGGGTCTCCTAACCCCATCCCTCTGTGTCCTCAAGGCCCTCCTCACCAGATGCTTTGTCCTCACCCCAGGAAACACCCCTGGAGAGCCAGCCACCCCTCGCTGGGTCCTGGATGGACGACCTTCGAGCATGGTCCCCCTGGAGCTGGTCAGTGCCACATTATTTCTCCGTTTGCAGGAGCCCTGGATCTCCCAGCCCCATCAGGCCCCTCCCCAAAGGGTTGGCTGGGCGGGGAGAGCTCTAGAGTGTGAGCTTGCACACATGGAAGTCATTTTCAGGCTTCCTCCCTCCACTGCTCCTTTCCCCCTCTTCACTGCGCTCCCACCCCAGGCAGAGGCGGGGCTAAAGTTGGTGGGACCTAAAACTTTTCAGGAACGTCTTTAAGTAAGTACCAAAATGTCTTCCTTTTGCAAAGTCTGCCAGAGCATGTGGCCTGACCCTGTCAGCACATCACTGTCGCCTATAGGACCCTATCATCGAGGCACGTAAACTCCAGCCTCACTGGTCCAGCAGGTCCACTTCCAGCTAGGGGGCAGTGGTCACTCTCCTGTTCTTCTCCAGATGCAGGCCCACCCACCCCATTTTGCTTCTCCAGGACACTCTGCCCCCGTCTCCTCCAAACACCCATCCACCACATACTTCTAGACTGGCCATTCCGCCAGCTGCATGTGCCACACAGCTGTGCTATGAACAGAATGCAGCAGCCACTCTCAGTTCACAGAGGGGCAAGCTGAAGCCCAGAGAGATTAGGGAATTGTCCCAGGTTACATAGCTCTTTAGTTTGGAAGCCTGAGAATAAGATCCCTAAATCCTTGGCCAATATCCCCCAAACCTAGTGAGTCTCCTTTACCCTGCATTTCCAAACAAGAGAAGACAGCCCCACCATCCAAGATAGCAGGGAAGAAGGCAGGAGAGCACTACCCTGAAGGCTAGGGGGCCTCCATAGGCCCAGCCTAGGGTCCTTACTGGCCCCCCAGACCCTGGAGTCCCCATTCAAGTGGTCAAGCATGGCTCTGGCTGGAGCTTTGAGATGGCTCATCTGGATCTCACCAGCACAGGGGAGAGCTGGGCACACTTTGGGGTCACTCTGACCATGGCCCTCCCTTAGGTCTGACCTGGGTTGTGACCAGGAAGGAATCCCCGAGGGGTCTTGCTTTCCCCAGTGATGGGGAAAGTCGGCCCATAGAAAGTCTGCCAAGATGCGGACAGCAGAGTTGAGGTGGGAGTCCTGTCCCAGAGACAGGAAACACCCACATTTCAGGTCAGGGATGGGGTCCATGGCAAGGGGCAGGCTTACCAAGAGGGCAAGAAGTGAGGACAGCAGGGGCTGTAGAGGGCTGGGGAGTGGGTAAGAGTGGGGCAGGAGGCCTTCCATCTGGCCTGCGGCCTTTCTCTCAGTGCAAACCTTTCTCCAATAAAGCAAGTGACATTCATGGCCCCCCAAGACTCTGATCCCCTTGCCTGGGGTCCAGCCCTGAGTATTGTGGGATATAAGGGGAAAACCAGGGAGGGTGGGGGCCAGCATTCTGAAGACAGCTGCTATGCAGGGCCCCTGGGCCAGCTCCAGCTCTGGGCCTCCAGCCAGGCTGAGTGGACGAGAAGGGCCGAAAGCGTGTTCCATAGGATGGAAGAGGCGAACCAGGTGGGCGGTGGGCTGGCCCACCCTGCCCTCCGACATCTGGCTGAGAAAGTCTCTTTTCTTGGCCTGGGACGGGAAGGGGAGGGGGTGGCTCATGTTGCCTCATGGGCTCCGTGTAGCAGGTGTGGGGTGGCCTGCTGGAGGCCAAGGGAAATTGGGGAGGCACTTGGTCAGAATTGGAGGCAGAGGAGTGAAGTCTGGATTCTGCGGGGAGCAGGGAGCTGTGAGGCAGAGAAAGAAGCCCTCGGACACCTACGACAGCACACCCCACAGTGTCCCCAGGACCTCACTGGCCCTGCGTAGAGGAAAGCTTCCGGGCAGACGAGAGGAGGGAGGCGGGAGGAGGGGCCGGCCACCTTGGGTAGGCCCGGCAGGCGCTGGGAGCTCTCATCTCTCCTGGGAAGATGCGGCATGTACCTGGCGGGCTGCCAAGTGATGTTCTCCCACACTTACCATGACAACTGGGGAGCCTCCCGTGATCGTGATCACTGTGCGGACCCCCACCAGCCAGCTCCATCCCACCTGCTCCCCGGCAGGCTGGAGGCCCGATGCGCCTGGTCCCAGCCCGGCACTCCTTGCCTAGGTCTCAAAGCTCAACACGGGGCTGGTGGCCGTGGAGGCCGAAGGCCAGCAGCTCCTGCTTGAACTGGAGAAGAACCAGTGAGTACCAGGCCCGGGAAGGGGCACGGCCTCGCTCTCAGGGTGGGCATCTGTGCTGGGGGCCAGGACTGAGAGGAGCCCAGGAGGAATGGTGGATGGGAGGGGGCCCCCCGGAGGGGCAGGGGACAGCGAGTCACGCCCACTTTCCACATCTAAGCCAGCACCATGCCTCCTGCCCACCCTTCGCCTCTCTCCTAACCCAAGGTTTTTCTGAACTGAGCAGTGCACAGTCACGCCTGTCTCTTCCCGAAGACACTTTGGGCAAGTCTTAAGTGCCAGCCTGTGCCTCACTCAGGGACAAGGCAGGCGGGAGATGCCCTGAGGGCTGGTTGGGTGATTCCTACAATGCGTCCCACCAGCAGGCTGCTGGCCCCGGGGTACACAGAGACCCACTACAGCTCGGATGGGCAGCCAGTGGTGCTGGCCCCCGGCCACACGGTGAGACACTTCATGGGCTCTAAGACGGGGGAGGGGCGCAGTGGGATGACCCCGAGGGACTCCCCACCCTACCTCCTTCATGCTCCTCCTTTTCCTAAGTCGAGGCTGGAGTCAGCCCCATGTCGCCCGATCTCTTGCCTCTCTCGATTCAACCCTGTTTGAAATTTGAGGCTGGGTCTCTTGCCCCCCAGGATCATTGTTACTACCACGGGCGTGTGAGGGGCTTCCCCGACTCCAGGGTAGTCCTCAGCATCTGCTCGGGCATGAGGTGAGTGGCTCGGGGGTGGGGCTGGGCCTCAGACCTGGGCAAGAAAGTGCCCCTTACCCGCCCCTCTGCGCCCCTCTGCACCGTAGTGGACTGATCTCACTCAGCCGCAATGACAGCTATTACCTGCGTCCCTGGCCAGCTGGAAACTCCACGGGCTTCTCCACCCACAAGATCTTCCGAACACAGCAGCTGTTCAGCTGGAAAGGGGCCTGTGGCCACAGGCATCCCGGGGACCAAGAGGACAGAGCCAGCCTTTCTCATGCCGCCCACGTCAGGGTCGGGGCACAGATGGGGGTGCAGTAGGGATGGGGTACCATAGCCCTCCAAATCAGAGGAGACAGGAATGCACAGTTCATGCCTCCTGATGTTATTTGGAGGATGAAGAAATATGTTCTAGCAAAAATTTAATTTTCTTTGGTCTGGGAATTGAGTTAGTGAAGAGGGTCCAAGCCCAGCAACCTGCATCTCAGGGTCACCATTGCCTCACCCCAGGAGAGGCGAGAGGCCCGCAGAAGCCTGAGGTACCTGGAGCTGTACATAGTGGCTGACCACACCCTGGTGAGAGAAGACCCGAGGGGGTCCGGGCACAGGATGGGGCCTGCTCAGCCCCTCAAGTTGCCACATTGCCACCTTTCCAGTTCTTGACCCAGCACCGCAATCTGAGCCGCACCAAACAGCGTCTTCTGGAGGTGGCCAACTATGTGGATCAGGTTGGGGAAAGAGCCCTGGGGGGGTGGGCGTGGGGGGCAGGGACAGGGCTGCAGCTCCTGGCGGGATGTGGCAGGCTGAGAGCTGGGAGAGGGGGACCTTCCCACCCCCTCAGAGCAGCCGCAGGGAGCTTCCTCAGCCCTTAGCTTCAGCCCAGCCCACCCGCCCTCAGATTCTTAGGACTCTGGACATTCAAGTAGCCCTGACTGGCCTGGAAGTGTGGACACAGCAGGATCGGAGCCGAGTCTCACCGGACGCAAACGACACGCTCTGGGCTTTCTTGCAGTGGCGCCAGGGGCTGTGGGTGCGGCGGCCACACGACTCTGCACAGCTGCTCACGTGGGTGCCTCTGAGCCCACCTGGGCCCCGGGCGGCTGGGTGTCCCCATCCCTTAGCCCTGCCCGGTCATACTGCACTTGGTCCTCAGGGGCCGAGGCTTCGAGGGCGCCACTGTGGGCCTGGCACCCGTGGAGGGCATGTGCCGCCTGGAGAGCTCTGGAGGCGTCAGCATGGTGAGCTCAGTCCCAGACAGGAGGAGGAGAGCTGCTGGCATGGGGACGGCGGGCCGCAGCCACAGTGACTCTCTCATCACCCTCCAGGACCACTCCGAGCTCCCCCTTGGCGCTGCTGCCACCATGGCCCACGAGATAGGCCACAGTCTCGGCCTCAGCCACGACCCAGACGGCTGCTGCTCAGAGGCCCACGCGGAGCAGGGGGGCTGCGTCATGGCTGCAGCCACTGGGTATGGGAGCCGCGTGCGGGCAGGAGCTGCAGGGAAGGTTCCACTAGACCTGGGGGCTTTTCTCAGCCCCTTTCTTTGAGCGAAAGGTTATCCCTTCTGCAAAGTGCGGGTGGTGATAACTATTCCTGAGTCTTGAATGGAGGAGACAGGCGAGATGAGTTCTCAAGAGCACGACCGAGCACGACGGTTGTTTCTGGAACAACCTAGCGACCTTACTCCAACCGCAGGAGCAGCAGCGCCCGGACGGGATTCGACTTTGGGGCCTGGGCTGCTGCTCTTGGCGTGGCGCGTCCTGCGCGGGCTCGCGGTGCGACCCTGGGCGGGCTGCTGCCTCTGGGCGCTGCGCCTTGGGGAACCTTCCCGTGCCCGGAGGTTCGGGCGCGGCGCGCATCCGACGGCTGCTTGGCCCAACCCGGGGTGGGGGTGGGGGGCAGGACGGAGACCAGCAGGGGGTGGAGGGGTTCCCCACGCTCGACGCCCTCCCCGCTCCTAGGCACCCCTTCCCGCGCGTGTTCAGCGCCTGCAGCCGCCGCCAGCTGCGCGCCTTCTTCCGCAAGGGGGGCGGCGCGTGCCTGGCCAACGCGCCCGAGTCGGGGCTGCTCCAGCGGCCCGCGCGCTGCGGCAACGGCTTCCTGGAGGAGGGAGAGCAGTGTGACTGCGGCGCCGGCCAGGTCAGCGCGCGCGCGGGGCGCCGGGGGCCAAGCTGGGCTCGGCGCGTCCTCTCCGCGGAGAGCTGGGGCGCTGCGCCCCTCACCGGGTCCTTCTTCATCTTTCGGGCTCCAGCAGTGCCCGGACCGCTGTTGCTTCGCCCATAACTGCTCGCTGCGTGCGGGGGTTCAGTGCACCCACGGGGACTGCTGCGCGCGCTGCCTGGTGAGCACCGGGGAGGGTCGGGGAGCAGGTGGGGGCCTGTGGGTCTCGGTTGGTCGGCGCCCTCTGGTCCCCCTGCGGGCTCTGGCTCTGATCCGTGCGTGGCTCCCGCCTCCCTGCCGCGACGGTTTCTCACCCTACGTTTTCTGGCTGTGCCTCGGTCGCCCTCCCTGCACCGCGTCACCTGCGAAGCTGAAACCCGCGGGCGCACCGTGCCGCCTAGCAGCGGGAGACTGCGACCTCCCTGAGTTCTGCACGGGCACGTCCCCCTTTTGTCCCCCGGATATTCATCTGCTGGATGGCTCTCCTTGTGCCAGCGGCCGAGGCTACTGCTGGGATGGCGCCTGTCCCACCCTGGAGCAGCAGTGCCAGCAGCTCTGGGGGCCTGGTGAGCCTTTGCACCCAATTCCCAACCCGGACTGTGCAGTTGTCTCTTCTGGGGGAAGTAGCTAGCCGGGGAGCGCACATAGTGGAGCATGGTCCCTGTTGGGTGTCCCCAGCCCTGCCCATGCTCCTTCAGGCTCCCACCCAGCTCCGGAGGCCTGTTTCCAGGCGGTGAATTCTGCTGGAGATGCCCGGGGGAACTGCGGCCAGGACAGCAAGGGTGGCTTCGTGCCTTGTGCGCAGAGGTGGGAGTGGAGTCAAGGGTGCGGAGACTGGGAGTGGGTTGGTTGAACAGGATCCCCCCATGCTGTTTGACCACTGTCCACTTGGTGCCCAGAGATGCGTGGTGTGGGAAGCTGCAGTGCCAGGGCGGCGAGCAGAGCCCGCTTCCGCCGTACACGGTGGCACTGGACTCCACCGTCAGCCTCGGCAGCCTGGAGGTGACCTGCAGGGGAGCCACGGTGCTGCACGGTGCCCAGCTGGACCTGCCTGACTTGGGCGTGGTAGAGCCCGGCACCCAGTGTGGACCTAGAATGGTGAGCCCTGCCCACCCACCCTCAGTCCCACTTGAGTCCCGTAGGCCCGAGCCTCGCTTCCCCTCAGCGCCCAGTGCACACACTGCCCACAGGTGTGTCAGGAGAGGCGCTGTCGGAACACCAGCTTCCCGGAGCTGGAGCACTGCCTGCCTGCCTGTCATGGCCACGGGGTGAGTGAGGGAAAGGTGTGGGGGCCGGGTGACCTTGGCGTTCCCGATGTGGTGGGACTCTCCTGTCTCCTCTGCAGGTCTGCAACAGTAACCTTAACTGCCACTGTGCTCCCGGCTGGGCGCCACCCTCCTGTGACAAGCCAGGGTTCGGTGGCAGTGTGGACAGCGGCCCCATGCAGCCTGAGAGTACGAAAATGGGGGAACGGGGGACACAAATGGGCAGGGGCCAGGGTGGAGCACCTGCTCAGGACCCACCCTGCCCTCTGCAGACGGCGACACCTTCCTGCTGGCTGTGATCCTCAGTTTCCTGCTGCCTCTGCTGCCCGGGCTTGGCCTGGCCTGGTGCTGCTGCCGGCAACCAGGGTCCCAGCCCCAGCAATGCCTGTGGGGCTCAAGGAGGGCCCCTGCGTGCAGTGGGTAGGTTCTGAAGACTCAGGTTCCTGCTCCTCAGAGCTCTGTCAGGTCTGCGGCATCTGGGTAGGGTCTCAGGCCTTGCCCCCAAGTGCAGAGGCAGTGGATAGAGGCCTTGAGCAGGAGGCCCCCCATGGCTTCCTAATGAAGCCAAGGGAGTGCATCCTTGTAGGACCCTCTCCCCCTTCCCTCTATGCCTCAGCCACTCTTGTCCTTGTCTCCCACCAGGAGGCTGTCTCACCCTTGACTTTGTCCTGTTTTCCACCAGCTCATACTATAGTCCCTGCTCCCCTGTGGCTCCAGGCAAGGCATATGCTATATCCGACAGCCTGGCCTTGGGAGTGCTCTGGGCAAGCTAAGAGAGGGAGCACTGAGGCTGAAGATGAGGGCAAAGGGCAGCCCAGGGAGGGGCGGGTGCTGCCGGGTCCCAACTGACAGCTGTGGGCCCTGACACATCAGGTGGTGGCATGGGTCTCTGGCAGAGGAACTTGGCGTGTCAGCATGAAGAGTGACAGCACGTCATCATCAGGAGAGTTTTAAGGGCGGTGAAGACTGCTTAGAAGAGAATGAAAGGAAGTGGCAAGACACTGAGAGGGGGGCACAAGAAGCCAAACATGGCTTTGAGACATCCGGGGGCAGCAGGGTCACCCAGTGGCAAGAAGAGTGGGCACAGCTGCCACAGAAAGGAGCTTGGGACCTGAGTGAAGCCAACATCTGGAAGGCACCAGGATGCTGAGGTGGTGCCAGTGAGAAGTGTCAGGGCTGGAGAGGGGAGGTGCTGTGGGGAGAGAGCAGGAGGGAGCTGGAGAGAGTGACCTGCAGGAGGAGGGACTCCAGGTGCCCTGCTCCTGGTCACTACTCCAATTTCCTTTTATCCACTCCTCAGGTCCAAAGATGACCCATGCAGGGAGCACCCCCAAGGCTGCATTCACTCCATGGAGTTGAGCCCCATCATTGCTGGAGAGCCGTGGCCGCTGGGTGAGCAAGCCACAGTGGGGCTGAAGATGGGCTCTGCTCTTCTGCCTCCTTCAAGATGGGCTCACTTAGCACCAGCCACCTTGCAGCCCCCGTGCAAGACTTCCCTGCCCAGGCCCCCCCACCAGCTGTGTTGACAGCATCTGTCCTCTACCATTGTTCCCCAGAACCCAGGCACCACCTTGAGATGCCCATGTCCTGCAGCCCTGCCTGCACACCCAAGGTAGGCGGGGACCCAGATGGGGGGCCCTCTTTGTTCCACTGCTTCCCCACCCACTCACCCCTCATCTCACTGTCCCCTACTCTGAGCTTCCTGAGCTTGTGTGATTATGGAAGTTAGAGAACTCCTTGGAGAGGCTGCTGTCACCGAGACCAGACATTGAGGCAGGGGAGGGGAAATCGTGGCTCTTCCCAGGTCATTGGCCCTCACTGTAGGGGCAACCCAAGTCCAACCACATGACTTGCAACCTGGGCCCAGTCCTCAGGGGATGATCCCTCCTCCACTTCATTCTCAGCAGGTCAAGAAGCCCAAGATCCCGTCTCTGGAGAAAGGTGGCTCCTCAGATGAGGAGACTTAAAGACAGGAGGCGACTGACAGTCACTCCTAGAACTTGAACCTCCAGGGGTCAAACCAGCTGACCTCCTGTGCCTTCAGGTGGTGTGCAAGTTTTTCCCTGAACTGAGCTTTGTCCACCCACTCCAGGACCACAGGGCCTCATCAGAATTTGCACAATACCATCCTGTCTCTCAGGGTGATCCTGCTAGGGTACGCCCTCCAGCCCCAAATCCCTCAGTAAGGAGCAAAGGTCATGTAGTCACTGATCACCAGGGGAGGTTGGTCATGCTGGAGAGTCCTGTCCGGGGAGCCAGGGCATCGCCGCCATGTGCTGTTTACCCAGACCCAGCTCTGCCAAGGGCAGCGAGGCTGAGCCAGAACCCTGGGTTCCAGGGGACCTTCCTTTCTATCTCTTCCTGCCCTTGTCTACTTCCTCAGCATCATCCCCATTCCTTGCCCTCCACCTGAGGTTTGTGGAGAAGTGTGGTGTCTGCTGCAGCCCCCTTGCTCTGCACTCAACCTCCCTCCATTCTATGGGAGGGGAAAGAGGGCGCCATTTTAGAAAGGACACTAAAATGAAAATCAGAAGACAGACATGTTGGTCTTGAGTCTCTATGAGTTTTTTCTGCCTATAAATTCAACCCTGTGGGGATCCCTGACGGTCACAAGTGGGGGCTGGTGGGTGGAGCCCCACTGCCAGCTGGGTCCCCAGTATACCATGCGGAGGTGGCATCGCCTAGCTTGAATGATTCACATGTGCTACCTCTCCTGTGTCCCTTGGACCTTCTAGAAGCTTCTTACTCTCTCCCTCTACTTCTCCCAAGCCCTGCAAGTGTTGCTGAGTGACCTTTAGCATCAGCGCACTGTTCCTTCCTAAGGAAAACAACCCTAGATTTAGTACCTTCAAACAACTACTTGTGGGAATTGGCAAAGTAGGCTGAACTCAGCTGATGGTTCCATTGGCCTCAGCTCTGTTCACCTGTGTTTGCCCCTTTGCCACGAGCTAGGGGTCGGCTGGGCAGAGCTGCGCCTGGGCTCGGCTGGTCATTGGCTGGGATCGTGGGGACAGACGGGCCGTGTGCCGCATTTCCACCAGGCTAGCCCAGGCTGCTTCACATGGCAGCTGGGGAGGGTGCTAAGAGAGCAAGATTAGGGGGAGGTGAGTGAGGCATTTACCTAGGACACAAAAATAATCAAGGTAAGTAATATTCTAATGGAATATTTTAGAAGATTAAAATTAAGGCAAAAAATCCATGATGAACAAAATTTCAAAATGTTACCTTAAAGCCAGGATCCCTAACAGAGCCATGCCAAGTCACGTGAGCCTGATGCGAAAGGAAAAATCAGTAACTGTGACCTGGGCAGGCCTCGTTCAGCTCAGCCTGTAAGGGACTAAAAGCAGGAGCTTGAAGGCCTCTTGAGAGCCCATTAGCGGAAGGTTTTACTTATGTAACACTCCACTGGGCCAAACAGTCACAGGGCCAGTCCAGCTTCCCAGGATTTGGTGAAAAAACTCCAGCTCTTGACGGGAGGAGCGGCAGAATCCTATTTCAGACAGTGAAGGATCGGGGGGATTTTGCAGTTGACCACAGTGGCAGTAGGGGAGGCATACTTGAATTTCATGTGGCCAGCATTCCCTGATGCCAACGTCAGGTAAGGATTATAACAAGAAAGCTTCAGGTCAGTATCCCTGGTAAATGTAGATGTAAAGATTCTCAAAATATTAGCAAACTGAATTCAACAGCAAATGAAAGGACCATGCATGATATCAAGTGGGAGTTATTCCTGAGATGCAAGGATGGTTCCGCCTATGCTAATCAATAATGGGACATAATAGAATAAAATATAAGTATCATGATTATCTCAATAGGTATAGGAAAATCATATAATAACATACAATGTCCCTTCATGGTAAAAACACTCAACAAATTGGGTATAAAGTGAGCACACCTCCACATAATAAAGGCTCTATATGATAAACCCACAGTGAACATCATTCAATGACGAAAGGCTGACGAGGGATGCCCACACCAACATTGTCCTCAAGTCCTAGACAGAGCGAGCAAGAAAAAAATAAAAGACATCCAAATCAGAAAGGGAGAAGTAAAGCTGTCTTTGTTTGCAGATGATACAAACTTATATATAGAAAATCCTAAAGACAACACCAAAAAACAATTGCCTCATTGCTTAGCAGTAAGTTTAAGGAGGTGAAAGATTTGCTCTGAAAAATGACAAGAGAGAAGAAATCAAACAAGTGGGAAGAAACACCATGTTCATGGGTTGGTAGAATTAATAGCAAAATGTCCACAGCATCTATAGCCACCTTTGGATTCGATGTAATCCCTATCAAGATTCCAGTGGCACTTTTCACTGAAATAGAAAAATCAATTTAAAAATCTGTATGGAATCCCAAGAGACCCAGAATAGCGAAAGCAACCCCAAATGAAGAGTATAAGGGAATGCCAACATTTTTGTTTGGAATTTTTCTGCAATTCTTAAATTAGCTACTAAAATGTTTAAGGCAATTGTAAAAAAAAAAATAAAAAAGGAATAGGGTTTCAAACAATATTATGTTTAGCATGGGAGAGACAAGGTCTCTGGGGTTGCTGCTGTGGGTGGGTGGGGTGCTGGGGAGTGCATTGGGGACCTGGAAGCAGTGGCTCTAGAATCTACGGTAAGGCCCATCCTAGGCTGGCGACTCAGTGGGGGCAGGAAGCCATTCCCATCACAGAGGCTCCTCCCCACAGGAGTGCACCTGTCAGCAGGGACACTGGGTTTTCACCAAGCTCTAGCTCAGACAGTCTGGGGAGACCCGTCTGGCTCCAGCAGTCCTTCGCTCACTGCCAGGTATGGTCCTCTGCTTGGGGCCGATGCTATTGCTGCTGCTTCTGGGTGAGTGACCGCCTCCTTCCTCAGGGTCTCAAGCACGGATCTTGAGCACAGGGTAGGAGGGCAAGAGGGTGATTCCAGGAAAAGCGGGCACTCAGGCAGGGACACTGGTGAGAGAGCCAGCTGTGCATGGTTTTTGAGGACATCTGGCAGTGCACCAGTCTTCTGCCTTTGGGTACATCCCCAAGTCCTGGCCTTGGTATCCCTGTTGCAGGAAACTTCTTTTTCCTATTACTTCCCCTCACCCACCTTTCTTATCCTTACCCCAGCCCTAACCCGCCACTCTTAAGTCTGGAGGCTTCACAATGATTCCTTCCCAGGCATCTTCAGGGCCTCCAAGCCATTATCTTGGACTGCCCCTTCCCACCTGGGGCACCTAGGAGGGAAGGGCCACTTTAGGGTGGGATGGGGTCGGGGGGAATGGAATCTGGCAAAGGTTTAAGGCAGAGGAAATCATGGAACTGAGCGGAACTGTTCTGAGGGTGGAACTGAGGTATGAGCACTCCTGGTGGAGGGAGACAGGTAAGCGAATGGGCAGAGGTGGGGGGCAAGACCTTAGGTGACACTTGGTACTGTTAGCGTGGCTTGAGGCCTGGGGATGTGACAGGCTTTGTTGGGAGAGGAAGGCAAAGTGGGCCTGCTTCTCCGTGCATCCTGGAGGGGCGGGGAACAGAGGGAAGGGACAAAAGGGAGAGTGGAAGGACGGGCTCACCATTTCCATACCCATCCAAGTCCACCCTGCCTGCAAGTCCCTCCTGCAGAGGCCTGCTTCCCTCCTGCAGAGGCCCTGCACTGAAGCTCAGCCAGAATCCCTGCAGCCCCCACCATTCAATACATGTCTCTGAAGGAGGTGGCCAGTGCCAGAGAAGCCCCGGTCTTGTGGCAGGAGACACCCGTGACGCACAGACAGACACACACACTCACACAAAGGTGGGGAGGCTGGGCTGTGGCTCAGGACAGCCCTGTGGCCAGCCATCAGGCACTTCTCTAATTTGCTGGGGGAGGAGGGTGTTAGGCCTGAAGGGGCTCTCCAGGGCCCAGGGCCTTTTTGGGGAATCCTGTTTCCCCACCCTCCCCAGGGGAGGGGGTGATGGAGGGAGGAGAAGACAGAAGAAAGTCCAGATGGGCTTAGATACCTGACCAAGGAGGGTCAGCGAGAAGGGGGTGGGGAAGGCCTGCAGGGGGCCCGCAGGGCACAGGGAGCTCAGGAAGGAGGGATCCAGAAACCTCTAGAGTCACTCAAAGGGTGTCCACGAGGGAAGGAGAGGTGGGAAAAGGAAAAATGGTCAGGCCGTCCTAGGGTGTCAAGGAGAGGCAGTGGAGTGGCCTCTGTCCTCAACGCCATTTCTCTAAGTCTTCTCCAGCCCCGCAGCCTGGCTCAGCGTCCCGCATCAGGTTGGGTCTTGAGGAGGAGCCCGCAGAGCCCCCTGTGGCAGCTCTGGGGAAGGAGCTCAGGACCTGTGCCTGAAGAGGACCGGCCTCAGCTTCTCGGGGCGGGTAGGCCCGCCTGGGTGCGGTGCGCCCTATCCATCCCAGCCAGGGTTGCAGGAATCCCCGGAGTCCGCCGTCGGCCATGGCCGCGACGCGAGGCCGGTCAGTGAGCGTCCATCTCGCCTTCGGGCCACACCCTGCCTCCCCTCGGGTTTTAAGCGAGGCCAGGGAGCTGGGGTGCAGTGCGCGCGTAGGGCGCACAGACGCTGCAGCCTGTCCCCCCTCCACCAGGGTCCCCGAGCTCGGCGGCGCGGAACCGATGCGTGGGCGCGGCCGAGGCCTGCACGGCGGACGCGCGGTGCCAGCGGCTGCGCACCCAGTACGTGGCGCAGTGCCTGGGTCGGACCGCGCCCGGGGGGTGCCCGCGAGCCCGCTGCCGCCGAGCCCTGCGCCGCTTCTTCGCCCGCGGGCCGTCGGCGCTCACCCACGCGCTGCTCTTCTGCCCCTGCTCCAGCCCCGCGTGCGCCGAGCGCCGGCGCCAGACCTTCGTGCCCGCCTGCTCCTTCTCGGGGCCCGGCGCGGCGCGGCCCTCCTGCCTCGCGCCCTTGGGCGCCTGCGAGCACAGCCGGGTCTGCAGGTGCGGCGGGCGGGGCGGGGAGAGGGGTGCTCTGCCCGGGCGGGGCCGCCGCCGCTCATCAGCCCTCTCGCCCCGTCCCGCCGCGCAGACCCCGCCTCCTGGCCTTCCAGGCCTCCTGCGCGCCCGCCCCGGGCGCCCCCGACGGCTGCCAACCCGGCCAGGCCCCCAGCTGCCTGCGCGCCTACGCTGGCCTAGTGGGTACGCACAGGCGCGAACCCGGTGCAGGCGGGCTCACCTGGGGGTCCTCCTGTGGGGGTGCCTCCGCCTGGGTGGACGGGTTACCCCTTCTTGGGTCACCGCAGGCACCGCTGTCACCCCCAACTACGTGGACAACGCGAGCGCGCGCGTGGCGCCCTGGTGTGACTGCAGAGCCAGCGGGAACCGGCGCGAGGAGTGCGAAGCCTTCAGGGGCCTCTTTACTCGGAACAGCTGCCTGGGTAATGCGCGGGACGGCGGGGGCGCGGAGTCTGGGCTGCACTTACTGTGCCCTCCCAAGTCACTTGGCTGGGAAGAGCCCCCTTTTAGAGGCGAGTAAACAAGCTGTGTGAGGCAGCTGGCAAACCCATTTCCCCCAGCGGGGAGTCCACTCCTGGCTGCCTCCAGACAGATCACAGGCCGAAGGATCCCAGGGGTGCTTGGGCTAGTGCCCCTGCGGGCAGGAGCAGATGGTGGACAAGAGTCTGAAGTCCTGGAGTGCTAGGGGGCTCTCAGTTTGTCCCACAGGAACGAGGTTCAGTGCTAGGGCTTCCCAGCCAAGCCCACCCTGGTCACCTCTCTGTAGATGGAGCCATTCAGGCCTTTGACAGCAGATGGTCCCTAATCCTGCAGGACCAGCTGGACTCCTCCCAGGACCCTGGGCACAACCTCCTGCAGGTGGGTGCAGGGTGGGGATGGTGAGCTGGCAGCGCCACACTCCTTCTTCCACACCCTTCCTTTCCAGCCAGGCCTAGGTGGACACCTGGATGCCCTGGGGTGGGGTGGAGACAGACCAGAGCCAGGTTTCTGCTTCAAGTCCACACTCTTGTCCCCCAAGGTGTCCTCTGCAGATGGACCCCTGGAGAGATGCTTCCTGCTCTTGGAGCTTGCACTTGCTGTCCTGGCTCTGCAGCCCCTGCTGTGATGAGGCCAGCAAACCTCAGACAGCATAGCCAGCTGTCCCACCCTGCCTGGGGTACAGGACCACATCTGTGGTCTAATGCCCTGTTGGAAGGGGGCTGGCTGATCTCCCAAGCGCTTGTAACTGCTCTTATTTGTCTGGATACCCTGTGTTTCCGGCAGAGAGATGGCAACTGACTGCAAAGCCCACCATTTCCCTTTCAGTAGACCGTTCTCCACAGACCTTGGAACAGTTGGGGTCTCTTACAGGGTAAGGATGGGAGGGCGCACCTGTGTAGCTGAGGTCTCACTAGGACCCCAGATGACCTAGAGATGGTCAGAAATCATCCACATGTCTAGAATTCTAGGAAACTTTTATCAGGTCCCCAAGCAGGTCATGCACTAAGGGAACATCTGCACAAACTTAGCTCCCTGCATGGGCAAAACTCCCTCCAACAAGCAGCACCTCCTGCTTCCCAAGCACCTGTCATGAACTGCCCAGCTTGGCCATCACCTGCGCCCCATGACAAACATTGGCAGAGTTCTTTCTGTCCTTGGTTGGTGGGCATGTTGCTTGGTGGGCACCACCAGGAGTGAGAATCCAACCCCCTGCCTGGCCATGTGGCCATCTACCTGTGGTTAACCCAGCACTAGGAGTGGTATCCACAGCTCAATAAACCCATGGGTACTGAGACTGGCCTTGCTTTCTGTTGTGATCTGCGTCCTAAATAGCAAGGAATGCCAGCAGCTGCCAGGAGCTGGAAGAGTCAGGAAGGAATTCTCCCCCAAAACTTCTGGAGGGAACGCAGACCCCGAAAACTGTAATGTCAGACTTCTGGGTTCCAGTACTGTGGAAATAAATTTCTGTTGTAAGCACCAAGGTTGGGGTAATTTGTTACAGCAGCCTGGGGAAGCTATAACAAGTTGTCCAAGGTGATTAGTTTGGTTTCTGTCACTTCTGCTGAAAGGCCCTGGCTCATACATGGGCTTGACCAGATGCCACGAGGCTGAGTGCAGCTGTGGCCCCCACGACAGAATCAGGTCTGTCTTACTCGCCCATGTCATGTTGGCCTGAGCTCTATCATGACAGCAAGTTCCTGTTTGCTGTCCCTCTCACATTCACTCGGCCCTGGCCTGTCCCAGTGATTGGGTCTCTGTTGGATGTTGTCAACACTGTGCCTCTAGCTGGCAGGTATCCAGGGGTGGGGCTGAGGCAGAAAGGCAGGTGTTGGAAGCACCTGAGGATTTATTGGCGGAAACTTCACGGTTCATGATGCCCATTCTGGCTTGGAGTCTGTTCTCTAGAGGCCAGGTTGATGTGGATACCAATCCCTACTCCCCCCTCCCCCCCAGAAGAGTGGGGTGGGCCACACACAGAACTGGCTCATTTTTAATTGAAGTGTGGACACTGGCAGGTGAAATTTCCAGAAAGGCAGGAGGACAGGAGATATGCAGGTTTCGGAGATGTCCCCCGCTGGACAGCAATTTTCCAGTGTGTGTGGAAGGAGGCAGAAAGCGCCCTGCCTCGGGGGCTGCAGGCTTGAGAAGGTGTGGGTGAAGGGTGACTTAGGAAGTTCTGCCAGGTACATGTCACCCCACAACCAAAGGAGTTTCCAGTCCAGGGCAGAAGACAGAGAAAAGAAAAGTAAGATGAACTCTCTCTGTCTCTCTCTCTCTCTCACACACACTCACACACCCCCCAAAATATAAGAAATTATCTGAAAGTTCTGGTCCTCATGGGACCAGGATTAAGCGAGCAAGGAATAAAGGCCTGCAGGTTTGTGTGGGTCACAGTAACCAGAGCTGCCCTGCAGCCCACTCCACACAGGCCTCAGGATCTGGCCTGGTGTGTCCTTATGCCCAGGACAGGAGAGAAGGTAACTTTTGCATGTCAGACAGTAACACAGGGCTTCGGGGTGTGTCAGACAGTAACACAGGGCTTCGGGGTGTGTATTGGCAACTCACACCAATATGTGGGGCCAAGGATTCAGATACTAGGAACGACATTGCCACTGGTGACAGGAGTTTTCAAAATGATGACCAGTTCTTGGTAAAGTTTTGAAAAAACCGGTTTGTTCTTTTGATTTACCCAATAGTTGCTTTTCTGGAAAACTTTATTAAAGCAGCTCTCAAATACTGCTTATAACAGGGTTGGGTTCTACACTAAAATTAGAAATAGATTCTATTTTCATCAACACAAATGCCCAGCAAGAGGCTTGAAAACTGGATGGGACATGGGTCAGTTCCTTGTAGGGAGGGACAGTCCCCCATAGTCACGGGATAACTTCCCCTAAATCACAGCAGGAGCTCCCCTTCAAGGCAGTGATGGAACCCGCCCCACCCATTTCCAAAATGTCCCCTAGGGGGCAGCCCCGCGCCCTTTGAGACTATTGCCCCACAGACCGGCTGCCCCTACTGCCACCTATGCCGTTGGGATATCCACTGTGCTCCAGCCTCCCTGGCTGCCCTGTGTTGTGCAACCATCTCAGGCTGGGTAGCTTCACTGTCTGTTCTCGCAGCCTCTGAGAGTTTTGCAGCCCTCAGTATCACTTTTACAGGTTTTTAATAGTGAACAAGGGAAACCAGGCAGCTGGGAAATAGCAACTCAAGCCCCCAACACCCCCACCTCTGCCCCCAGTGATGCCGCCCTTTTATCCCTTCCCTTCTAGGCCCAGGCAGGGGTGAGCACCTAGACGTGCACACGCCCGAGCTCCCTGGGCCCAGGTGACCACAATCACCAGCCATAGAGGCGTGTGAAACATAGAGGCTAGTGGCGGAAGAGCGTAAAAATGCCCGGTTCACTCATTTACCCTACGCGGGGCCACTCCTGCCACCAGGCATGCGCTCTGCCCAGACGCCCCTGTGCCTCCTGCATTCATCTCTGCTCAGCCGCCCCCCTCATCCTAACAGCCTTCCCCAGGCCCACGATGTAAAATAGCGACCTCTCCCCAACACTTTCTACCCTCAACCCTGTATTTACCTTTTCTCACAGAATTTATTCTCTGATAATCTTCACTGGGGACCCCACCCCCCGCCCCACTAGACTGCAGCTTCCACGGGATTTTTGTCTGTTTCATTCACTGTGAAATCCCTGGCCACCAGGCAGCCTGCCAGGCCAGCCTCGTCGTGGCCAGTCGGAGGTGGCACGGGGCCGCGTGTCTCCCCAGGGACAGCCTCCCCACCACCTGTCTGAGGCTGTTCTCAGGAGCCCTCGCTCAGCAGTTACAGGGGCTGTGTTTTTTAAGGTCACGCTGGTGATTTCTTTGGCAACATAATTCCCTCAAAAACCTGGGTCTTTTCTTTGCATCCCTGGTAGGTGGAAGGCGCATGGCTGCGCGCCCGTTCTTTGTTTTCTTACTCGCACAGCTGCTCCTAAGAGGACCGCCTTGTGGTTGTCAGGCCCCAGCCGCAGACCCTTCCCTCCATTTGATTCTCAGTCTCACGACCACCTCTCGCTGACTGGAGGCTAGAAACAAGACCAATTGGCTTTTTCAAAGGCCAATTAGTTTTTTTAAAACCTAGGATTTCAGAGTTCTCCACCCTTTTCCCTTCTGCTGGCAAGAAGGGACGCAGCATTTTCTGGAACACAACCCTTGCTCGTGATGCCTGCCCCAAAGCAGCCAGTAACAATCAACACGAATCACATTCTGGCTTTCCCTAACTTCTTCCCCTCCAGCTAGAAACTCAACAGACGAGTAGTTTGCTTTCCAAGTTCTGGAATGGGGCACCTTTAGCGGATGTCTTGCTGTTTGCAGGACACCGCCCCCCCCCACTCGCCTGCCCACCCGGTCACTAGCAAAGCCAGTGCCCTGTGTTCTAGCGGTTTTGGTTACAGGGACTCTGCACTTCAAGGTACCAATTTGTATTCATGAGAGTAAGAAAAGCCGCCTGTTGAAATAACTCCCCCTCCCCCAGTGAGCTTTGGGGTGGGGGTGGTGTGAAGTGCTCTCCAGGGATGCGAAGAGCAGCACACAGGCTCTTGCTGGGCGGGGTCTTGGTCTAAGTGGTGACTCAGGGATCCTCATTCCCTCCAACACCTTAAATAGGTGGCGTCCAGTGAGTCCCAGGTGGGGGCATGTTAGGTGCCGAGTTTGCGCTCATGCCCAGCATTTTCTGCCCACAGCCAAGCTTATGGTCCCAACCTCACAATAAGGGGCCTGGGCAATAGTGACCCATGGGCTCACGGGCTGCAGCGCCAGCAAGGCACAGAGCGGGTTTTCTGTGTTCCCAGCAGACGGGTAAAGGAGAGTCCTGGTGCCCTCGGTGGCTTTTTCAGGCTTGTAGTGATCTTTCTACACCATTTGCAGTGCGGCACCCAGGAGCAGTGCAGGCCTCCCAGCCCCAATGAACCTTTACTCTTTCTAGACTCTCTGGTCTCTACTGCGCTGCCCGCTGCCTCCCCCCTTCCTCTGCTGCCACGTTCTCTTTTCTGGGCTCTGTTGCCGCCCTTATATGCTTGTCTCTCCACTCAGGTGCGCCCACTCACACACGCCCCCCCACCCCCCCAGGTGTCGCTGTCAGGCACGCAGGCAAGATCACAGGTGTAGATCGTTGATGCTAATGGCAAGGGGGGGGGGGACCTGATCACTTCCATTTACCCTACACTGGCAAAACAGGTGTGAAACTGCAGCCATGGCACATCGCCCCTGCCCCTCCCAGAACATTTGGGGAGGTCCTCCCAAGCTGACTGCGGCTTCCAGCCCGGCCATTTCCCTCCCTAACCCAGACCCAAGCTGGGGTGGGGAGGAGGGGCAAGCCTCCTCCAGGCTTCCAGCCAGGGGTGTGCCTTCCCTCCCCTGCAAGAACCACACCCTTCCTGTGCCTTCTTTTGTTCTCAATTCCCACTACACGGAGCTCATCCTTCTGGGCCTTCTGCACTTAGCATCAAGGTGCTGGAATGAGTTGTTCTGGCCCTGCTGAAGACAGGGGACTCAGACAAGGCTTTGTGTATGGACGTAAAAAAAAATCCAAGACCCAGGACCACGCTGTGACCATGGAAGACTAACCTGTCGGCCTACCAGTGGCCTAAGAGTTCAGGAGCCCATGAAGAAAGGAGGAGCTGAAAGGCCAAGGGCAGCGGTTAGGCACCAGGGTGTGCTGTACCTACCCCCCCCCCCCCCCCCCGCCCCATGTCTTCCCAGTACAACACAGGCTGTACCGGGGAGGCTGGGAAGTCTGTCCACAAGCTAGTACCGCTACCCCCAACCCTTATCAGCCAAGGGCTTTCTCTGAGGCGTTTGAAAACTGGTCAATTAAAAAAATATTTTTAGCTTTTCTTTTTTTGAATTTTTTTTATTTTTTATGAATTATTTTATTTTATATAATTCTTACATCATTTTTCATGTTTGCATAATGTATGCATTTTCATTTTGGTTATATTCCCCATACAATTCCCACCCCCTTTTTCTGACCCTAATCCCTCTTCTCCTCCCCCAGCCACTCTTAAACTTCTTTATTTTTGCATTTTTTGCTTTTCTTAAGGCTCTAATGACTAAATTGTAAAAATAAGTGAAACCAAACCAGAATTAAACAGAAGAAAAAGCACATTTTTACCAGATCTACTTTTATTTCAGAAGGAAGTTTGTATTATAGTATTTACTTTTGTTTATATACAAGTTCTTCACATTTGTGTTTAAAATGCACAGACCTCCCTTGATTCTCTTGTTCTTGCTTAAATTAGCTGTTATTTTACAATACAAAAAATACCAAAAAGTTGCAGTCCTAAATGTATGTATAACACCCACAATCCCCAGCAATGAAATAGTTTACAATACTTACTCCATATTTACATGAGTGCAATAGATGCTAAATTATACATATTAACAAACTAAGCTTGGATCCAAACAAAACAAAACAAAACAAACAAACAAACAAACCGTAAATAACTATAAAACAAAAACATTTCCAGAGTCAGAATTAGTTCAACAAAACAGGCTTCACTAGTGTTTAGAATGTTTTGTGCACAAATTCAGTTACTGAAAGTCAATTCCATTATTGCCTTTGAAAGAGAAGGCGCCAGTTTTCCTCTCCACTCCAAGTCATCTCCCTGCAGGCAAGGGTGTTTATTACTTTGAACTCAGCAGAAATGTCTCTTGGGGGGCCTGGAGATCTATAAACCATTCACGGTGATTTTTGTGGTTAGTGTCGAGTTTGGTAAATTGGGTAAACATTTCAATGAAGAGCCGGTGTGTGTGGCCTGAGGATAGGCCCTCTGCTTTCCTGGGTGTGTGCTGAGGATGGCCGGTTCCTCCAGGAAACCGCCAAAAGGAAAGATCTGGGATGACAGTTTCAGGGGCTGGATTTTGTTGTAATTCTAAAGAGCTGCTTTTTCCTCTCCGTCACTGCCCTAGCGTTAGCTTAGGTTAGTAAGTGCTTAGTAAATATTTGTTGAATGGAAGGGTGAATGACTGTAATGGAAAGAGCAAAGGTGTTCAGGGGATGCACACCACAGCCCAAGGAAATGAATCATCCTCACCCCTCCCCAATATACTCCATTAACTTGAAGGAGCAAGATTTGCACCGAAAAATGCCTTTTTCTCCCCTAATGATAGTGTTCTGGTTTTTTTCCATTTGGCCCAGATGTCTTGGTAGTCTCCAATTTCATACCTCGGGCCTCACCCACAGATATTTTGTTATCTTCTTTTGCTGACAGTCTTCTGTCCAGGGTTGCTTTTCCTTTGGATTAGCACAGAGGAGCACACATTAAGGGGATCACCACAGGAAAGCACAGATGTCTCCCCTACCCATGTGTAGGCAGGGGGTAGAGGTCTGGAGCTATTTATCAACCAACCAGTCACCCCACTTCCTTCCCCAGTTTTCAGAATAAACAATGGTCCTGGGACATGCTCATTAAAAAGTTAGACAAAACCGTAACAAAATCAGCCTGGAAAGCCCTTATTATAATAATAATTATTATTATTTTAAAATCTGATTTCTACAAGCACAGTCTTTGAACTTAAAAACCAAGAAACATTTCTGAGAAAGAGATTGGTCACTCCGGGCCTCAATACCAAGAGGCTGACGGATGCAGAGCCAACAGCCACAGGGATTCTCCCTGCCTTCGAGTCACCTCACTTACTGCTACTAAAACGGACCCCCTTCCAATCTTTCATGTGTGTACTGATAGATAATTCCCATTTTAGGAGTTATTCAACTGGAACCAGAGGCCTTTGAACACATTGGCACAATGGAGGATGCCTTTCCTTTCTCTCTCACCAACGTATCAGGGCCTATGGAGAGGCCTTCTCTGAACTCGGTCATCTAGTATATAGCACAGAAACATAACAGGTGAAACTCAGACACCGTTACATTTAATAAAAATACATTAAGATTTTTTCTGTTTTATGTACACGCCGAATGTTTGAACATTCTGGACACTATTGTATAGTTATGTACAAGTGCAATATCAATGTTTTCATGACTATTTTATGTACAGGCTCTCCTGTGACACGCAGGCATGTCTGAGGTTCCAGGTGCCTCTTGGTAACTGGCCCTAAGCCGAGTGCCTCTTGCTCCTGCCACTCCCTTTCTCTGGCGGGAGCCTGAGGAAGCTGCTTGCTATTGGCTGCAGGTGGATTCAGCTGTTTCTCTACTGTTGGAGCAGAATTAAACTTCACTTGCTCCCTTTTTTCTCCCTTTTAAGAAAAAGACATTATTTTTTAGAGGGGGGAAATACAGAAATAAGACGGTGGCTGTGGGACGTGCTGCATGTTTTTTCAAGGCATGGGATTATCATGGGGCAGAGACTTCTTTGGAAAAGGAAACACTGGTTCTTTGAACAAACAAGGAGTTCCCTAGTGGGGGGACCATTTTCAGTGGCACAGGGCCAGTCCGTTTCAGGCTCTTTGTAGGTGCCGGGATCTGCAGCAGGGATGTGGGGAGCTCTTTTCTAGAACAGTCTGCTCTTTAACAATGATGGTTGTGAAAAAGCAGCTTTTTGAGAGGCGAGACTCAAAGTAGAGGTGTTCTGTGCATCAGTGTTTTAAGGTTTGACATCCTTGAAAACATCCCTTCATGCACTTCTTCATGGGAGTGGGTGTAGTGTTGGGATGAGATGACACTCCCTCTCTAGGCACTGCATTCGAAGGTGAAATGCCGCAGTTTTTGCTCCTGTGAGTATTAATTTCTCCAATTTCACAAACTTGAGCATTTTGTTCAGAGGTCCATGCCAATAAGGAGATGCCAGAGAACCTCAGGCTTTGAAGCAGGACAGAGATGTCGGGAGGCTGCTGCATAATACCAGAATACAGAGCACCATAGACAGACAGACAACTTCCAGGCAGCGCCCTGGGCGAGAAAGGCAGGGACTGCCTTGCCCGAATGAACTTGGTCACTTTCCTTTTGGCATAGTTCTCCCTCCTCATCCACCTGTTCCATGTGCTTTTCATCCTTATCCCCACAACCACCACCTCGGTCTGGGAAGGAGGCCGTGAGGGCCGGGCCCCTCCTGCGGGAAGAGGGCAAACAGCTCCAGGCCGTTCTCTGGACTTGGCAGGTTCTGGCCTGCAGTGGGGGACTGTCCCTTTCCTGGTACGACTCCCCCTGGGTCCTGAGAATGACCCTCATGCTCAGAGCAGGCTACAGAAACAAGAGCAGCTCTTTGATCCAGGGGTCCCATGAGCTGTGTGCTCTCTGTGTGACGTGAGCAAGACCATTCCCCTGCGGTGCCCTGGCAGGAGTGGCCAGAGGGCTGGTGCCAACATCGGGCGGGGAGGCGCATGGGACCACGCCTGACTTAGTGTCATTCCTGACAAAAAAACAGGAGCTTTCCGTTAGATCATTTCTACTTGCCTCTCAGTTCCTGCTGCTAGGTTAAATGTTCCTTGGGGTGAGAAAATTCTTTCCTGACTGCAAATGAGATTTTAGAAAAAGAGCAGATTGCCAATGATTGCTATTTAAATTTTGTAAGAATGTAGGAATGCAATATGTAAAAACTTAGACTTACTAACTCTCCAATTGCTAGATCTATTTAAAGTCTAGGCACTTAGTGTGTGTGTGTGAAAGAGAGAGAGAGGGAGGGGAAGAGAATTCAAATGGATTAAGACTAGATTAATCAAGTTGCTATAGAAAACTACCTATTACCTCAGTTTACATTCTGAGTAACACTGCTGACCTTGATGTTTAAAACAGCCCCAATCTATCTTAGTTTGATGGGATCCAAAAGAGATGGGCCATTATTAGTTTTCAACTAGAAAAATGCTACTCCCTGGAAAAAAGCTCTGCCTAAGTCGTGCAAGAATAAATAGCACGTCTTTTGAAAAAGATAGCAGGCTTCAGATGAAGAGTTAACTCATCTGATTAGTTTTTAAAAGACCGTGTTCAAGAACGACTGATGATGAGAATCTGCTTGTAAACGCTACAGCTTGTGTTTCTGCAGTGGAGACAGTCCCAAGAACAGCTGCACAAGTGAACCTGAGTGTCATCCCAGCTTCTCACTGGCTCCACCCTGGCCTCCCCCAGAACCACCGGGGCACCCCGACCTGTCATTAAACCATTTTCCTATGCAAAAGTCAAAGGTTAGATGCTGGAGCACAGATGGGAGGAACGGTCAAAGAAAGCCTGTGAACATGCAGATGAGTCGGATGTCGTGAGGGTTTCCAGTCTTCCGCCCGTACCGCCTTGCCCTGCCTGCTCCCTCTCCTGCAGAGGGCTCTGGTCGTCAACACTAGCTCGGCTCTCGCAGAGTCCCTGGCCCCAGCATCAAATGCAGGTGCCAGGCTGTGCAGGGGGCTGCTGCTTTCGGTTTCTCACGGCTCCTGACTTCTCTTTGTACACTATTGGTATCTGCTGGGAAATGTCCACCAGGGCGCTGGCCACCGCGAGACCTTGGGAGAACCCACAGAAGGGACACATGTTAAGGAGCGGCTGGCTTTGGTTTTTAAAAAATTACTTAAATTTTTTTTTTTTTTACATTATCTTGGTGCAATGAATCAAGTACATAGGGAAAGCCATTTTCTCCCCACTTCACCGCCCCCCCAACCATGTGAATGCTTTCGTGAGTTTGCACATGTTCTTCAGGTGCAGCTCTGTTTTACAGACACTAACCCATGTGCTTCGCCCCCTGCTTTTTACACAAAAGTGTAGTTTGCTTTGGGGCCTCCCGGGTGGTGCAAAGGGTTAAGACACAACCTATAAAGCTGTCCGCAGCCTATGCAGCATGAGTTCGATCCCCGGCCAGGGAGCAACCCACATGGCGCAGCAGACCTCTCCTGTCGCGCCCACTGCTCCCCTCAGCAGTGTATTTCAGTCAATCTGCCTGTTCTGTTCCCCACTCTGTCTCCGGTGAATCCTCTCACCCTCCACACCTCTGGCCTGTACCCCAATTCTTGTATGCATAAATAAATAAATCTTTAAAAAAAAAAGTGTACTTTGCTTTTTAGCAGATCTACCAAGCACTGAGCTCCGCCTGGGGTTGGGCGCTGAAATGAGAATTCAGACATGCTCGGGCACTGAGTTTCTCCTGCCTTCCACCAAAAGGTGCAAGAAAAGCAGCAGCAGTCTTAACGATGCAGCTCAGATTAGCTCCACTCAGCCAGAACTAGTCATTTTCATACATATCCCATGACACAAGTTAGAACACACTCTGGCGGCAGGCTTTGGGGTAAACAGGTTCTTTAAATTCCCCATGCCTCAGTTCCCTTATGTGTAAAATGGGGGTAATAGCAGCACAGGGATTCTGTGGGGAGTCAGTGAGTGAATTCCTGGTGGTCTCAGACTGGAACCCACCTCCACCACCACCTCTGCTTTAGGGACTGGTGGTTCCATTGCCTGATGGCTATTAGGGAGGGAGAGTTCTGGGAAGCTAGATTCTTGAAACATGGGAAACGGACAGAGCCCTGCTGAGGCCCTAAGGAGTCAGGTTAGAGGGGCTTGTTACTTCACCTTGCCCATCCTCTAAAACAGAGGCCTGCGGGGGTGGGTAGCTTTTAAGTTCCTGGCATGTCTTGGGGCATCTACACCAGGGACAACTGATAGGGCAAAGGCAGAGCTGGGTGCTCTGGGAGTCCTGAGAGAGGCACCATCTAAGATGGAGGAACAGAAAGGGTGGCAGGAATGGCCCCAGTCTTGAGGAGGATGAGGAGGTCTTATCAGGAGTCCAGGGATGGGGGTGTATCAGTCTGAAGCAGGCCAGCACTATTCAGTGTTGCCTTTGTACCCCAGTTCTCTGTGAAAGGGAAGGAACTAAAAGGGAAACCGTGTTTGTCACGACCCTCATCCACTCACCCGACTGTCCAGGAGGAGGGATTCCACCAAGGCCTCGAGGGAGCCTCACAAACACAGAGAGGACAGCAGCTTTGTTGCCAAAACAAGGCTCCAGGGCAATGGGCTTGGGTACAGTCTGGAGGAAGAAAACACAGAATTACCTAAAGCAGTCCAACACTACTGCCTTTAGAGGGGATTTGTGAGGCTGTCCTCTATATTAGTTGCTGTTGTTATGTAACAGATTACCACAAACTTAGTTGCTTAAAACACCTCCTATTTATTATCTCAACTCTGCATGCCCATGTGAACTCTGTACAGATCTCTACTTGGGGATACAGGTCTATTCAAATCTTCCACCCGCTCTGGAAAAGTCTTATCTTCACAAGGTGGAAGTCAAGTTATTAGCTGGGCTGGCACTTATCTGGGGGGTCAGGGAGAGAATCTGCTTCAGAACTTAATCTGGTTGTTGGCAGAATCCAGTTCCTCTCAGCTGTAGGCCTCAGGTCTCCATTTCCTTGCTGGTGGTCAGTCAGGGGTCACTCTCTCTAGAGGCCACTGGCCTTCCTCATATGGCGCCTCCAGCCTCTAACCACACAGCGAGTCCTTCTCAAGCTTCCTCTTCTCTATCTTAAGACTTCTGTATCTTGGAAATTTTATTAGTTTTGCAAAATTCCTTCATAGCAGTAGCTAAAGTAGTGTTTGAATAACTAAGAAAAGGGAATCTTGGGTGGCATCTTTAGAATTCTGCTTACCATACCTCTCAATATGTCATGAATTTCTTCAATTAAATTAAGAAAATAATTTCCAGAACCATTCTGGCTGCAGCACAGGGAAGTAACTGGATGGTTGAAATAGCAGAGGGGGGGGTGATCAATTGTGAGGTGACTGCAATCATCCAGGCGAGCACTGGACAGGTTAGGATGGAGGTGGAGGTGGTGTAGAGTGGTCAGGAAATATTTTTAATACAATAAAAAGATTTGAGGACAAATTGACAGTCAAATGAAAGTGCGAGCAAGGATGAGTCAAGGAAGATGCCACGATTTTGGTAGGGATCTTCTTGGATCTTGTTGATTTTAAGATGTTCTCTTCATCTTTGGAGTTGTGTAGTCACTATGATAAATCCAAGTATAGTTTTCTTCTCTCTTCTTCCTTCATTCCTTAAGCCTGCTTGTGGTATGTTTTGCTTTTGGAATCTGTATAGTCATGCCTTCCATTCTTTGGGAAATTTTCATCTATTATCTCTTTGAATACTGCCTCTCCTCCATTCATCTGTCTGGGGGTTCTGACTAGGTCTTTTCATTTTATCCTCCACATTTGTTATATCTTCCTTCTCTCTCTGTTCTGCATTTTTTTTGGGGGGGGGGTTATCTTCTACTTTAAAAAACTCCCATTTAGGTCTGATGTGCTACATTTAACATGTAATTTCAGTTATAAAAAAAATTCAGGGGGCCTCCCCGATGGCACAGCGGGTTGAGCACCGCGCTATGAAGCTGTCCGCAGCCTCTGCAGCACTGGTTAGATTCCCGGCCAGCCAGGGAGCAAACCACATGGCACGGTAGACCTCTCCTGCCTTGCCCGCTGCTCTTCTCAGCAGTGTCTTTGGTTCGTCTGCCTGTTCTGCTCCCTAATCTATCTCTGGTGAATTCTCTCACCCTCCCATGCCTCTGGCCTATACCTCAGTTCTTGTATAAATAAATCAATTTTTAAAAAAAAAATTAAAAAAAACTTCAACTACTGTATTTTCCATTTCTAAAAGATCCATGTGTGTTTTTTTTTTTTTTTCCCAGATCTCTTTTGCATTCTTTCATGGCTTCTTCATCTTTATGATTCTGCATTTTATTTCTTCAAATATTTCATACATAGTTATTTTCTTTGATTAATTCTAACATTTGAAGTCCTGTCTCTATCGACCATCTATTGCATTTGCTTACTTACTCATGGTGGCTTGCCTCTCCTATCGCTGGTGAGCTTTGGCCGTTTTTAATCTATGAGAATCCTAGTTTAAATTTGGGATCTTCTTCTACTCAGAGGATCTGCATCTACTTTGGCTAAGACTCATGGTGTGTTACCAATATGGAACCACTTTAAACCCTTCATGGTTCTGGTTTTGGTTCATGGCTCATTCTTTTTTGGGGGAGGAAAAGAGAGTGGTATCTGAAAACTTGACCCACTTCCTGTGAGCTCAGTAATACTCTAACAAACATGTTTTATTCAGGGCATATAGCTGATTCCCTAGAGTATTTGAAATTATTTCATCATTTTGCCAAAAAAGTCATAACTTTCTTCATTTTGGGGAGAAAGGCAGGGGTCAGAAATATTTATTTTCTATAAAATGCATAGTGAATTATGACTTTGGCCTTTTAAGACCACATCCAAGTCATTACAAAGAACAATGGTTCAACTTAGCTATTATGCAATAGAATATTTAGAATACATTTAATATCAAACAGGTCATTTATTTTAGAGTACAATTAGTATCACACAGATCATTTATTTAAATCCTAGAACACAAGACTTCTTAACAACACACTTAAAGACAAGAAAATGAAAGCAAAAGAATACCTGACAACTTCAGTGTGTTGCCTTGCTGATAAAAAGAGAGGAAAACATAAGAGGCAACAGAACAAGGCTCTCTCTCTTTTTGGTTTCCCAGACACAGAATCATGAGTTTGACAAGGTAAGTCACAGGGACTTCTGTATCACATTCTCACCTTTATAGTCCCCCCGATGAGATCAGGAGGCTCTTCATCTGTTTCCAAGGCAACATTTACAGAGGCAAAGGGACGACTGGCCATCTGCTGCATCTCTCGAAGAAGTTGCTAATAAGTAGCACAGCAACCATTAATGCAGTGAGTATTGAAGGGGATTCTATTAGTGAATAACACATTAAATCACCTCATCTTCCCTTGATTCAAACAAATCAAGTATAAAATATGTTGAGATGGTTTGGGACAATTGGACAGGGACTGGATAAGATTAGATAACATTAGGCATTATTAAAGGCATTATTAAACTTTGCTAGACATTATATTTAAGTATTGTTATATTAATTAAGGTCCTTATCTGTTAGATACTCAAGTACTCACGGGTATAATGCTATAATAACTGCTTGTTAAATATATAAAATAAATGATGTAGCCCTATCTCCTCACATTTTTATTACTAGACTAAAGCCAAGTTTTCTTTCTTCCAGCTGAAACTTGAACCAAGTATTTACACTTTAACAAAAGCCTGTACCTTGTTACATAGTAGATAGGAATTGAAAGAGCTCTTTACTGCTCCAGCCTCTAGTATTTTGTCAACATGAGTGATGAACTTACAATGCAAAAAGGGTGGCATAATTCCCACTGAGGCTCTGTCTGCCAGTTACTACTAAATAGCTAATTCAAGGACAGACTTGTCGGTCTTTATCCATTGAGTCTTACCTCTCTACGCCTGGAGGCCCAACAACTTTGCTTGATCTTCCAAACCACAGCAGCCACCAGGAGCAAAGAGAGGAAACAACTGTGAGAAAGGAAAGTACCAAGTTATTATCCCAGCCCCAAGTCAGCACCACTATCACCCACAACTGAGAGCAGGAGGGGACCAGTGCCCAGCTACCAGCTTCTTTCTGGTGAGTCATAACAACCAGGTTCCGGTTCACAGGAAGCAGCATGTAAGAAGACTGGAAGCTGAGCTCCCACCGACCTCTAGACTGTCCTGTCCCAGGTACTGAGAACATTGATCTCCCACTGGGCCTGCGTCAGAATGGCACATCACAGCTGATTCCAAATTAGGAAAAGAATTAAAAGATAACTATGATAAATAAAAAGCATGCTATTTAATCAAATTAGCAAATTTTTACTGTTAAGGTCTAAAAAATTAAGTTAAAGGAACAATAGCTTTTTATAAGGAAGAGGTACACTCAACTCTATTTCTAGAAAGTAAAAGTAAATATACATATACATATATATATGGTGCAGTACATATGTATGTGTGTGTGTGTGTGTGTGTAAAAAACAGAGCAATCAACTCAAGGGACAACTTTCTGGAGGTACAAGAGAGTAACCCCAGTGGTCTGTGACTGCAGTGATGACAATGTTCTGTCTTCTGTAGCCCAGGCATCGAATGGTTTGAAAACCTACTGTGACAGCAAAGAGAACAACTGATTTCTGGTTAGAGAAAGCATGGGCCCAACACATCAGCCTCTTAGATAACAGCATAAATTTATTTTTCAACTGGCATTTTCACTCATTAGCTCGAAGGGGCAGCCACGTGGCCCCAAGGCTCCACTGCGGGCAGGTTGGCCTTGCAGGTGGCAGTATGCTAGGTGACAGGCAGCCTCCATGCCTCCAGGTGTCCAGGGATGGAACAGGGGCAAGAAAGCAGGTCCTAAGACTTGTTTTGGACACAACGAATTCTGAGCTATCTGCCTATAGCCAAGGAAGATGTTGGGGGCAGATACGTGGAGGCTGGTGCTAGGTCTGGTCTGCAGATGGCATCTGGGAGTCATCAGCATATATATGGTATTCATTTGAAGTAACAAATTTGGTGAGGTCATTAAGGGAGTAAATACAGAGAAGACTACCTTGGGGCTAGACCCCAATACTGACACGTTGGGGAGAACAGGAAGAAATAGCAAAGACAGAGTATTCTCAAGTCTTTTTTTGGTTTCCACGCATAATCCCTCTTTTTGTTATTTTCATTCTAACAGATAAACACAAGGAGGCAGCAAATGTATATGGAAGGACAGGAAGGGGAGAAGCTAAGTGGCCAGGACACCAAGTACAGGGCAGGCCCCGGAGGCAAGGATCTGGATGCCACTCAGAGGCCTCTTGGGGGCCACCCTCGATACAGAGCTATAAAACACTGCTGTTCAGAAGTTCTGTGCTCCTTCCTCCCAGACCTAGGTGGGGCTTCTGTCTTCAATTCAGACCCACTGAAAATACTAGTGACACAGTGACTGTGCCTCAGAGCTGCCTCATGTACCATTTGTCTCGGAGTAACACACCTCCTGAAGTAGTACAACCACGAAGCATTTACTGGTTATGTCAAAAAGGTGTGCTTGCTGACACCCCACCCCTTTTCCCCACCACTTATCTGGGTACAGATGGGCGGTGACTCAGTGTTCATCCTACTGCAGTCTCTGTATCAACTGCATTCTGTATTTTTCAAAACAAATGTAACTTTGAAACAGTCTTGAAATTTCACAAACACACAAAAGCAGAGGGAACAATGCAGTGAGTCTGTGTATGTCCATTACTCAGCCTTGACAAGGAGCTATATTTTGCTTGAGTCTTTGAAAGATCATTCTTAAGGACACAGCCCAGGGTAAGGGGCCCTCATTTCCTGAAAACAAACCTTTTGGTCTTTTTGTTCTAAACCTAACCCTGCTTATAAGAGGCTGGCACTGTCCTAAGACTTTTCCAAAAACCGATGCCTTGATTCTAGGCCCTTCTTTCCATCTTTTATAAACTCACAATTTGAGTGTTCAGTGCTGTTTCTCAGCTGCTTAACGATCCCTATGAGTGTCCCAAACTTTCCTCCATGAGGAGAGGCCACTGAAGAATGGGTACCTTCTCCTGCCGCCAGCCTAGCCTTCCTAAAACTACCTATGCACGTCAGGTCTGGCCAGCCTGAACACAGACTGCTGCTGCTCATGGTTCTTGGGATCTGCACTTCCTCATTCTGGTCAGAACTAGATCCAAAGTGGTAGGACCTCGGTCACATTTCTATCTTTTGGGAAATGAAATGGGGATTTGTCAAAATGTCTGCCGTCAATCTGGCAAGAGGCTTAGTAGAGGTTCAGATAAGTTTGACAAAAATATTGTGTCTTGCCTACGCCGGAAATTCCCATTCCATTCCCTCCTTTTGGCTGGGGATGTCACATCACCCGTTTCTTTCTTTTTTCTTTTTTTTTTTTAAAGATTTATTTATTTATACAAGAACTGGGGTACAGGCCAGAGGCACGGGAGGGTGAGAGGATTCACCAGAGACAGAGTGGGGAACAGAACAGGCAGACTGACAAAATACACTGCTGAGGGGAGCAGCGGGCAAGACAGGAAAGGTCTGCCGCGCCATGTGGGACCCTCGCCCGCCGGCGGGGATCAAACCGGTGCTGCAGAGGCTGCAGACAGCTTCACAGTGCTGTGCTCAACTGCCTGCGCTTTTCTTACCCTCATTTACATGCTGGCCTCAAAGGCACCTTGGAGCCTGGCCACACAGATTTCCAGCGTTAGGCTGGTTCTCTTCCGCTGATGACAGTTACCATTTGAACCCCACATCATCCCAGAAACAAGTCCTTTCATATACATGCTACACCTGATTCTCAGGGCAAGGAGGCAGGGGTCTCCTTCCTCCCTGCCTCCTACGCAAGGGTCCCTCTGCAGCCTGCACAAGTATCACATTGAGACACGAGGGCTTACCGGACTTGTCAAAATCTAGTTTATTCCACTGTGCCTGGGCCTGGAAGTACTTTTCCTAACTTACCTCACACTGATTTTCTCATTTGAATCATTAAGCCCCCACCCCAGTTCTTTCACATCACATGAGCTATTCTTCAGTGTGTCTGGGGTAATCTGGCTGCCTTTCCTCTCTCAGCTGTTTCATGTAAATCCTTTGGACTCATTAACTTGCGTTGTGAAAATATTTTCTTCCCCCACACTCATGAAAAGGACTCGATTTTCATCTAAAAGCTCATCATTCCTAATTCTAAACATAATCCCAGTGAAGAAACCGAAGTTCTAGATTCTTTGCCATAGGTTCCACTTGCAAAAGGGAGACGGGATGAAAACACCATCTGTCCTCATTTACCACTTAAGAGTCCATGGCCCCTGTCATTCTGTTGGTGTCCCTACGTCTTCCACCCATCGGTGGGATGACTAATGCTCACTGGGCTGGTACCTGCAGTAGCCTCATTCCAAATCAAAGCTCTGAGAACACAGCACACCTGCTAAGTGGTGCCACTGAGTCAGCGTGCAGCCCCGGCCTCCCGAGCAGCGCCCCAGCCAGCCCCCAGCCTTCTCCGTCAGAGAGCTTGGTGCCGGTGGTTCCTCCTGACTGTGCTTCTGAAATCCTGTAAATTCCACATATATTTGAAGATGGCAATGGCTGGGTACTGAAGGCATGTGTGTGTTTCCAGGGGTGAACAAGAGACAGACCCTGGTCTTGTGAAGCTCAGATATGAAGTTTTAAAAACTGCGATTAAGTACCGTGATGAAAAATAAGATGGCTCAATGGAGAGACGAACAGGGGTGGCCATTTAGTTTAGGGGTTCTATGCGAAAATGTGAAGGAGATGAATGCATCCTGTGAATTGATACTGTGATGATTCTGACTGATTAAGATGTGACCTGACACTGTAATACTCTGACCTTACGGAAGGGGTAACTGAGATAGACAAACTTAGGTTATCAATTAAAAAGCAATCGCCTGTTGTGAAGACACTGAATAAACTGACATGCAAAGGCAAGGACAGATAAAACCTGGCTGTCAAGAAGTCCTGCCTAAATTAAAATTCATAGTGGTCCTGATAATATGCCTCTGAAAAGTACACAGAGGTACCAACTTTAAACCTGTTGGAGAGGCTATGCACTCCATGCCCAAGGTCCTGAACCTTTCCCAGATTTGGGTGAGAGCTGGGGACTCTGAGCAGCTGCCCCCACCCCAACCCCTCCTGTTGAGGACAGGATGCTACCCGAATTCTCCAGGCTGGGTCCCACCAGCTCTGTACTGCCAGTCTCTGGAGCCTCACCAAGAGTTTCATCACCTTCCTCCTTTTACTGCCACTGAAACAGATGTCTGTGCTGTTGCACCGTGGATTCCCCCTCCACTAAATTCCTATCATATGCACCTGGCTTGAGCAAACTGCTTGTGTCCTACGTGAAACATCTCTGCAGGTAGAAGTCAGCACTTTTGAGATCTGAGCCTGATCTAACAGTGTGGTGTAACAACAAAAGTATTTGGTCTTTGTCCTGAGTTCCTGACACAGAGCAAAAATCCATGAAATTTCCTGAGTGATGGGAGTATCCCCTACCCTTCTTCCCTGCAAACCCCTCCTCTACCACAAATGTTCAAACCAACTTTACCTGTAGTAACCCAAACTAGAAACAACTCAAATGTCCATCAAGAGCTGAATGTATGAACAAATTCTGGCTTATCTTTACATAGAAAATTACGTGGCATGAGCCTCCCCAGTGGCGCAGTGGTTTGAGCACAGCGCTTTGAAGCTGTCCACAGTCTCTGAAGCGCTGGTTCGATTCCCGGCCAGCCAGGGAATGGCAGACCTCTCCTGTCTCGCCTGCTGCTCCCCATCTGCCTGTTCTGTTTCCCCACTGTCTCTGGTGGATCTTCTCACCCTCCCATGCCTCTGACCTGTACCCCTGTTCTTGTATAAAAATATATCTTAAAAAAAAAAAGAAAATTACTTGACATTAAAAAAGAATGAACTATTTTTTAATTTTTATTTTATTTTATTTATTATTATTATTATTTAAAGATTTATTTATTTATTTATACAAGCACTGG